TAATAATAATAATAATAATATTAATGAAAATAGAAATAATAATAATAAAAATATTAATAACATTTATATCTGAATAGGGTTTTACAAAATTGTGAGAAAATAAAACATATCTTTATATTTGTTTACAATGTTAAAATAATACATTTCGATGCGAGAACATACAACTAGAATAAGATATATTAATAAACATATTTCTTAAAAGTATTAAAATTTAAATTCTCTTAGATTTTGATATTATTAATTAAGGAAAAGGAAAAAATGATATTCCTCATAAGTAAAAAATATTCAGGCTTTAAAACATTTTTTAAAGTATACATAATATGTATAATTATATTACTCTAGATATGATTTTTTTACATATTTTGTAGAAGTATTGAAAGTTGTAACTCTTTTGGAAGAAGATAACTTGTAGAAAAATACTGCAATTCGACGGTGCAATGAACAACAAATCTTAGATAAGCTAATTTGTAAAAATTCTTCAGAATGTGCATGGGGTGGGGTGGTGTGGGGGGGGGGTACAGGTTGCTCTAAATTTCAAAATTAGATCATGGCCTCTTTCCCCTCAGAGGATAATAAATATATAAGGACAGAGGGGGGGAGGTGTCTAGACTCAAAACAGTCAAAGAATGGAAGGGAAAGGGTCGCTCCCCCAGTCCCCATTTTTGAGATACAGTTTAAGAATTTTATATTTCTTTACGATTTTATTAATTAACAATTAATTTAATAAAACCTTCGTGTAAAAGAATTTATATTACTTAAGCAATACCATGATGATTTGCTTAAAAAACATGATAGTTCAAATTGTGTGTATATTTCATATTTCAAAAAGTAATTAAATATGGTGAATGCATTTCAATCTCTATCTAGTAAATTTACTGAGCTGTATTCTAGCTGCAAAAAGACAGAAAAATCTTGTATTTTTGCAAGTATACGATCGGTGGCCCGGTTCGCCCAGCCTCGGTCTCTCATTGGTTGAAAATTTTTGCAAAATTGCACTGGCGGCGCTGGTGCATGCGTGCACAGTCCTAGTGCAGCAGGACACCGACAGGGAGAAATAAAATCCGCAAAATTTAAATTTTTGTCAAATTTTGGAGGATTACGGCAATATTTACATTACAAGATTTTCGAAAAATTTTGGGATGAATTTTTCAAAATTTGCACACAGCTGGTTTGTTGTCTATTGCAATTGCAACTGGGCATGCCTGATCTGGAGATTTAGCGCTGTTTCCCTGGCACAGATCTACAGACAGATCTCCCAGCCAAACCAGGCAGTGGAAATCTACAGACAGTCCTGGGCTTGATATTTGCAAACCTGAGTGCAGTTCTCCTAGTGTCCTGGTACCAGTGCAATATATGCCTTGATATGCTCAAGTGAAAACGTGAAAATATGGAGAGTAAAGTTCTAGAGAACCCGTCAGTTTCAGAATTGCTCGCAGCGCATAATATGCGTCGTTTATTAGACGCATATAGAACATTAGCTCCGTTGACAATAGGAGGTCCATCCACTACCACCCTGGAGAATAGTCCTGGACAGTTGAATCCTGGACCAAGAAACCAGGATCCAGGGGCGTTTAAAAAATTTCCCTGGATGTTTTCTCCCCCTGCTGGGTCGGGTAGGAGAAGGCATTCAAGTTGCGGAGGGGGTTATCCACCTCCTTCTCTTCTCCTCTCTCCTCCTCCTTCTCATCAAGTACCAGGTCAACCCGGTCAACCAGGTCAACAGATACCTGTTCTTTCACAACGGGATAGAGAATCCTCTAGGTTCAAACATTCTCAAAAAAAATTTTTTATTTTTTAAGAATCTATAGATTCGAAAAAATATACATTTTATGATTACAAAAAGTTATAAAATTCAATATTTTATTTTAGCCACAGTGCCATTCCATAAAAAAAAAATTTAGCTATGCTGTGAAATGGCTCTTTATTGATTTACTATCTCACTTTTGATCTTAAAAAGTAGTATTTCAAGTCATTAATGGAGTCTTTGCCACTAACTCAGATTTTCTAATTCCTATGTCTTTGCAACCCATTGTAATAGATCTCTAATATTACAAACTGTGAATTCGATTTTAAATGTTTTCACCAAAAAAACTCAAAAACTATATACTTTGAAACATATCTTAATATTAAAAAATGCATCAGTGCATACTAAAATTTGATTTTTAGGAGCAGAGCCCATTAAAGTACTTGTGGGTGTACACTTATACATTGCAATTTGATTTTACAATAGTATTTAGGACACTAACATAGTGCACACTGCACAGTGCACGGTGCACGGTGCAAATAGTGGGACAAAATATAGATGCATTTTTTACAGGCAGGATTACCCACAAAGGTTGAGACTGTAAAGACGACCTAAACTTCAGTCTTAATTCTGCCTTGAATTTAGTCTATTAGTGAATTTTTTAATGATTTGAAAAAGAAGTCTCATCCTTTGCGGATAACACTGTAAATACAAGTGCATTGTTTTTAATAATGTGTACATCAAAAATGTATACGCTATTTTCACATTGCAATGTACGTACAGGAAATACCTTTGATTCATAAAAAATACGCTTATGTGCATTGTGCAATGTGCTTGCTTGAAAAATTTCTGCTTGTAGGCCAATGAAAAGGTTTCATAAACCAAAGCGTAAAAGATACCAAATTATTGCATTAAAGAATGCAGTAATTTACAGGTTAAAGGGGCCGTTCAGTTATTTGAGTATTTTATGGTTAAACTAAACAGCTCGCTCGAATTCTGAACGAAAAATTGGCTTAGAAAAGTAAGACTAATACCAATCAACAGCGAATAGGCTGTTTAGTTTACCTTGAAATTACCCAAATAAGTGAACGGTCCCTTTAAGGCTTATTTATAAAAAATGTGTTATTCTCAAAAATTGTGTCACAAACTTACTTTAAAAACCACATTTAGCATTCTTTGTCTACCACATGCATGCACAATGTACATACCATAAAACAGAATGCAGCAATTTAGAATTTTTGGCGTGAAAAATGCCTATTTCTGAACAGCAAAAAAAGGTGTATAATTCAATGCATGCCGCCCTCAAACCAATTTAATATGCTGCATTCTGAGCATAATCTATGTACACAGACTGTGCATGCATTCCTTGGCGCAGAATGCAGAATGCACGAATGCAGTTAACCTAAATATCTGAGTTCTAATGCATTTTATGATATTTATCTTGTAAAAGAGACGTTTATTATTTTTAAAACTTTTTTTACAAGAACTTCTTTTGTTTAATTATTCGAAACATGGTGATTTGTAAGAATTATGAAGAAAAAAATTCTGAAAATTATCTAAATGATAATTTACTTAATTTACATCTGGAAAAGAAGCTTTTGTACCAACGGAAATTATACATTTTTTTTAAATCAGGATTTTGGAAAAATGAAAACAGAAAAAATTTTGTTATTAAATTGAATTAATTGCCAAATTTGTTGCAATTGCATATTTTACGTTGAACTAAAAAAAACTGCGCGGAGGATTAAAACCTTTATTCATAAGCTGAGGATATATTGAGAAGATTAAAAATGTATTGAATTTCTTTTATGGCCCACTCCTGTATGCCAAGACCAATCAGGGTTCAGTCATGTGTTTGTTGTCTATTCTGAACCAATAGAAATAGTAAGGCGGTAACATCTATCTTTCTATCTATCTCATTATCCAATTAGAGTTATGAATCCTTCAATCGGCGCTATCAGTAAATGGAAATATTTACTTCAACTGAAACTGTAGTGATGGATCAAAATTCGTACCAGTGATGTCGTGTAAATTTTATTTTCTCCTACTGTCAAATTCAGAAAAAAAAGTTTATAAGTTCATATTTTTGGGTATTAATAAGTAAATGCATCTATTTTAAAATTTCTATTTTATGTAGCTTATTATAAAATATTTATCTTTATTTTTAACTTGATGACTCGCTGCTTAATAAACATCAACATGAAAAATTTTAAATATAAAAAAATGATATAATTTAAAAATGTCATTTTACAACACGTTATATCAAAACAATTACAAAGTTTGATTCAGTATTAAAAAATACTTTATATTACATTATGTCTATCTATCTGCAGCTGTACGTTTGTTCCTGTAAACTTGTACATTAATAGAAACATATTTTTGACCATTTATAAAACCTATTTTAATGATTTTTTCATAAAAACCTTTTTTTTAAGCAGAAATCAATATTTGCATAAAAGACTCCGTAACTTGCATTAAAGTTTGTACATGAGAATTGCAAAAGTACATAAAGATTAAAGTTTGTACATGAGAATTGCAAAAGTTCATAAAGATTAAAGTTTGTACATGAGAATTGCAAAAGTACATAAAGATTAAAGTTTGTACATGAGAATGGTTTGTGTACAGTTTGCTTGAAACAACACTAGAGGGCCGAGGTATCTCGTGTTTCAGTGTTGGAGGAGAACTCAGGCTTTGTTTAACCCAAGTTCTTCAGCTAGTTCTTAATACTGTTCCTCTTAGTAGAATACATCAGGTATAGTTCATCTTCTTCTTTTTCTTCTTCTTCTTCTTCTTCTTCTTCTTCTTCTTCTTCTTCTTCTTCTTCTTCTTCTTCTTCTTCTTCTTCTTCTTCTTCTTCTTCTTCTTCTTCTTCTTCTTCTTCTTCTTCTTCTTCTTCTTCTTCTTCTTCTTCTTCTTCTTCTTCTTCTTCTTCTTCTTCTTCTTCTTCTTCTTCTTCTTCTTCTTCTTCTTCTTCTTCTTCTTCTTCTTCTTCTTCTTCTTCTTCTTCTTCTTCTTCTTCTTCTTCTTCTTCTTCTTCTTCTTCTTCTTCTTCTCCTTCTTTTTATTATCATTGTTATTATTATTCTTGATATAACTATCATCATTTTTCAGACATATTTATCATTACAATTATTATCATCATTAAAATTACTATAGATATTCTGTATTACAGGCATGTGAAGAACTCCAAATCTATTGTTCCACCTCTAGCCCTGGTCAACTGACAGCTCTCAAGCTAAGCAGGGTTCTTCCAATCTCCACAACACAGTGTGGACTTATCACAAAATCAGATGCAGAGCGAATATGTTCTCATCTCCTCCATTCCTCTTCTTCCTCCTCCTCCTCCTCCTCCTCTTCTCCTTCTCCTGCAACATCTTCACCTGGTGCGTCCCCTCCCCGGAGTAATGATGTGTCCCTAGTAAAAGTTCAACATAATTGTTTTGGGACCTGTATAGGAGTTATCCATCCTAAATCATACTCATCTCCGGATTCCCCAAGTATAGGTAGCAGAAAAAATTCCGAGTCGAAAAATAATCTAAATATGAATGGAATTGATTTTCCTTTCCTATTTTTCTGTAAATAAAATTCTATAAAAACCATTTGATATTCCAAATTCTAACTGTGGCGCAATGAAATTTTACTGAAAGATCGTATTCTAAGAAAGATTAATTATATTTACCCGATAATTTTCGCGAAGAACCAATGATAAAAAATGTTTCCATGTTCGTTAAAATTTTTAAGGTATTCCCTGTCATTTTTAAATAATATTAATTAAACTATTAGAATATTTTATCTTTGCCTTTAAAATGTAAATTGTATTTTTGAATATCTCTTTGTCGAAAATATGTTTAAACTGATGAGTGATGAGGATGAAATGCAAAAACAATCCTCATGCAATATCTCTTTAGGCTTCATTTTCTTTATGAGCCTATTCTGCTCTCGACCGAAAATTTGCCATTTCATTTAGCAAAATCCGCGTATTCTCAGAACCTTCAAAACTCGGTCCGCCATTTTTATTTCTGTCAACTTTCCCGCCAAAATTTGGTTCGTCATCTTTTATACTTTACATTATCTACCCGAAAACTACTAATTTTGAATCATTAAATTTAAAAAAAAAACCTCATATGCATTTAATTTGCCTTAGAGGGCGCTTCTCGCCCATCTTCTAAATTAATTGTGAACATATGTTCTAGCTTTGTGTACATCGTAAAACAAAACAAAAATAATTCGCGGATTTTCACAAAAAATTTCGTGGATTTTCAAAATTTTCACAAATTTAATGAAGATCGAATTTTGATGGAGACAAATATTTAAAATTTTGATCATTCATAAACCTTCCCTGGGGCTCCGTGAGGTCCCACAAAAAAATTGGGCCCGATCGGTTCAGCCGTTTGGACGTTTATTGGGTACAAACAAACAGACAGGCAAGCCAAATTTATATATAGATAACATGATTAGATTTTGCTATACTGGTGGATAATTGAAATTTGCACTAACTATTTGAATTTGATTGATTACCCTAGTTGTATCTTTCAGTTCTTCTTGTTTAATTGAATTCGAAGAACTAGACACTTGTGCAATTTATATCATGGAGAGCTAGGGGTCAGAGAGTTCAAATTAATAAAAACAATTGTTTTAAACTGCAAACTTTTTATTTTGTCTTAATATCATTATAAATCTAAAACACAATGCATCTTCCTAAATATATTTCATCATTTGAGAATTTGATCTTTATGACAAAGAAAAATCGAAGTTGAAACCTTAAAAGATGTGTCTTAATACATGAGATATACATCATCTCCTCTTTGAAAAGATTATTATTTTCAAATGCGGGTTATCTATAAAGTGCTTCAGAAACAATTTTTTTGAGCAAGAAATTATGATTTGATAAATGTATTAATTTTTTTTTAATAATTTAATAACTAAATATTTTTAATGTACCGAATGCCGCAAACAATTTCCAAATATTTAGAATGTACTAAATGCCGCAAACTATTTCCAAATATTTAGAATGTACTGAAAGCTGCAAACTATTTCCAAATATTTAGAATGTACTGAATGCTGCAAATTATTTCCAAATATTTATAATGTACCAAATGCCGCAAACTATTTCCAAATATTTAGAATGTACCGAATGCCGCAAACTATTTTCAAATATTGAGAATGTACTGAATGCCGCAAACTATTTCCAAATATTTCGAATGTACCGAATGCCGCAAACTATTTTCAAATATTGAGAATGTACTGAATGCCGCAAACTATTTCCAAATATTTAGAATGTACTGAATGCCGTGAACTATTTTCTCCGCCTAAATTTGTCTGCCACACCCACGAGCCCCCAGGGCGGGGAATTGTTCATTGGGGATTCTCTAGAGATAACTGGCCAACCTATATTCAGGTACTAACTTCAGGATTTTAATCTCAGTCATCTAAAGGTTGCATTGCAAGCTCTCACGTAAAAGTCGATGAGAATTCTTTCAATTACTTCTTCAAAACTAAAGTTCTATGTATATTGCTAAAATGTACATATCTAGGAATACAAAAAAGTGAAAGTTAGTACTCGCATTGCAACACTTTAAAATCGACCTATTCTTAAAAATTGAAGAAACTTATTATAACAGTCTGTATATATGTGCAAGCATCGTTGAGCAAGAAACCAGAAATAATACAAAAAATATCTTCAATCTAGACTTTAGGGGGGTGGGGGGAATGAAAAGGGCGGAAGAGGGGGGGGCTGAAGGGAAAAGAGGGAGAATATTTAATATGTAAAAAATATTTTTTTCCAGATTTGGGACGAGTACAGTGAAGAAGAAAAGGAGAATGCTGAAATCCAGTTGAATAATTTCAAAAATAAATTTAACAAATCCGGGAAACGAAAAAGGGTAAGTAAAATCATTTTCACCCCTCTGTAAGGTTCTGTACATTAAGCACAGAACTGTACAGTGGCAAGCAACATGTTGCAAAGAAACTGATTACACTTCTTAAACTTTAATTTTCTAATCCTTATTTTATCTTTGCAACCTGATGGCATAGACCCTATATGTTTCAAATTATGAATTCTGTTAGCACTACGGCCAAAATTCGAATTATCATCAGGGTGCAAAAATATAGGGATTTAAAAGATACAGTTAAGGAGGCAAGGACTTTAGTTCCTTTGAAAAAATAATCGATTGATTGCAACATTTCGAAATAGTTGCAAAAAGAAATTTAAACGTTTTAAAAAAAATTGCGACTTTTTTAAAAAATGTCAAAGTATGTTATCCCTTGAGTAAGTTCTTAAGTTTATAAGTGCAACATAAATTGAGATTTGAATAAAAGTTGAATTTAACGTGTCTGTAAAGTCTAGGCATCTATTCGTACTGCATAGATCGCTGGCATATTGATGCAAAAATGCAAATTTTACACAAGAACGACAATAAATTATTGTATAGCCAGACAGAGCCTGCAATGGTATAAAGTATGTCCCAATTTATATTTGCAAATTACGGAACTTCATAAATATCATTCTAAATTTTCTATCTATCTTAAATAAGCCATTTTGATTTTACGAACCAAACCAAATGGGGAATGCCGTAAACTGTACAGTGTACATACTCGAATATTTTCTTGAAGCAAAACTTATATAAGAAGAATGGTATTTTTTGGACACCTTTTATCTAACAGATATCAGAGGAGTAGAGTTTTATACTTCCTGTCATTTTAGGAGTTTTATTTACTGAATAACGTGGAGAGGGAAATACGCGACATTACTCGCAGATAACATCGTTATTTCTCACTCTAATTATTTTTAATTTAAAATATTGAAATAGTTTTTATGCATAGAAATTCAAAACTTTACAGTGTTAGATGGCAAATTACTAATTTTATGGAACTGTGGTAATTTTCATTTATGTGATAAAATTGTACTGTTCGGAATTGAAAGCATTTAGAAGTATATGTAAAGCACAAAGAAGTGTAAAGAAGTATACATAAAGTGTATAGAAGTAAGTAAAAGTGAATGGAAATATATAGAAGTGTATAGAGGTATATATAATTAGTGCAAAAAATCGTATAGAAGTATATAAAAGTAAAAAGAAGTATATAGAAGTACACAGAAGTTTAAAGAAGTATAAAGAAGCGTATAGAAGTATAGAGAAGTGTATGTAATTGTATAGAAGTGTGTAGAAGTGAATAGAAGTATAAAGAAGTATAGAGAAGTGTAGGGAAGTATATAGAAGTGTATTGAAGCATATAGAAGTGAATAGAAGTATATAGAAGTATATAAAAGTGTATAGAAGTGTATAGAAGTGTAAAGATGTGTATAGAAGTATATAGAAGTTTATAGAAGTGTATAGAAGTATATAGAAGTGTATAGAAGTGTATAGAAGTATATAGAAGTCTACAGAAGTCTATAGAAGTGTATAGAAGTATATTAAAGTGTACAGAAGTGTATAGAAGTGTATAGAAATGTATATAAGTGTATAGAAGTGTAAAAAAGTGTATAGAAGTATATAGAAGGGTATAGAAGTGTATAGAAGTATATAGAAGTGTATAGAGGTGTATAGAAGATCTTTATCTCTAATTCCTAGAAACGAATGCACTATGCGTCCCATGGCCTGTAAAACTGCAGTATACCTAGTCTCTGGAATTTTATCCTTAAAACACAAGTTTATGTTTCCCTTTCCCTTTACCCTGTAAACCTTCACTTTTAAACCTGCAATATACAGGCCGCTTCATTGAGCATGAGAATTCAAAGACGACTTACTTAGTCTAAAATCAAACTGTAGCACATAAATTTGACGAGAAAGGGATCTTTCAATGGGCGTATCGTCCCGGTTTGCCTTACATAGCCTGTATAAATTTTACCGTACAGCTTGCACTAGCTGGTTAAAAGTCGACACGGGACTTGAAATAAGACAAGGATTTCAGGCTTTAAAATATAATTGAATTGTTGATTGATTTCTCCCGTATTAAGATTGTACTGCCGTCGTTAAATTTTCCATCACCAACTTTTCAGGGATTTTGGACTTTTAAACTTCATATAACTTCAATTCTTATAATGTACAAATATCTGTAATAAGCAGGGTTTTCAATTTCTTCATTTTACTTACTTTATTAATTATGGTATTCATAAATTGAGAGTCTGCAGTTTAAGTTAATTTCGTTGTGTAAAAAAATATTTTAAAATTAGCAATATTTAAGTAAAAACCGTTTTTAAAGAAAATTTAACTTTATCTCAATTTTTTGCAGTCGGTTTCTGATTCATGTCATAAATGTACTTTATAGGAACAGTAGGATGTGTATTGGGTATGTACTTGCTTATATAGTTCACATCATGCAAGCTTTAGCTCTTTTTAGAATAACTTAGTGGCATGCATTATGAAGCGCGTAGAATATGTGCATAGCATACATCATGAAGAGTCTATTTTCTTTGTATGGCATGCATCATGAAGAGTTTAATATCTGTTTATACCTTGCATCATGCAGCGTGTAGTATCTGTGTAAAGGATGCATAATGCAGCTTGTAGTGTCTGTGTTATGGATGCATCATGTAGAGTGTAATATCAGCGTAAGGCATGCGTAAAGCGGAGTGTACTATCTTTGTATAGCATGCAACATGCAGAGTGTAGTATTTTTGTATTGCATGCATTATGCAGAGTTTGGTATCTGTGTATAGGATTTATCATACGGAGTGGAGTATCTATGTATAGCATGCATCATGCTGTGTGTCATGTCTGTGTATAGCATGCATAATGCAGCATGCAGCCTCTATGTATCTGTCAGGTTTTGTGCAAAAGATTAAAGATTTATGGAAAAGTAGTATTCAGCTTAAGACAAAGAACAAAGAGAATCTTTAAGGATGGATCAGGATAGGTTACGCAACTTAAGGGAGATACATGGATATTCCACAAACATCCCTCAGTTCAAACTATATTCTCTTTTCATAGCCTTTAAATAAAAAAACTATTTAATAAAAAATCCTCTTTTGAGGACAAATCCTTATTCAGAAAATCAGTCCTCTTTTAGATGATTAATCCTCTTTCAGAAGATTAATCCTCTTTTAGAAGAATCCTCTTTAAGAAGATTCATCATCTTTAAGAAGATTAATCCTCTTTTAGAAGATTAATCCTCTTTTAGAAGATTAATCCTCTTTTAGAAGATCAATCCTCTTTTAGAAGATTAATCCTCTTTTAGAAGATTAATCATCTTTTAGAAGATTAATCCTCTTTTAGAAGATTAATCCTCTTTTAGAAGATTAATCATCTTTTAGAAGATTAATCCTCTTTTAGAAGATTAATCCTCTTTAGAAGATTAATCCTCTTCTAAAAGATACGTCCTTCTGTAGAAGATATCTTCTAGAGAATTAATATTGATTCTGTTAAGTTCAGATGAATCTTTTAAGAAAGATCAATTTCCTTTGAATATGTTAACAATTTTTTTTAAATATACGAATTTTCAGAAATTCATGATTTTTCGATGAGATTTTTATTTTCGTTTTTTTATTGCATTAATTCAATTTCAGTTTTGCAAAACAACAGATTCCCCTTTAGTGAAAGTATTTTTGCAAACTAAACCAGTTTTCTTTTATCAGAGTTTTGTCAAATTTGATTTAGCTGGAGGGTATAAACATTAGAATTAAATGACGACTTCTATGTCGTCTTTGTTCCATGCGGATATATTTCGTAAATATAATTTTATAGTCTCACAGTTAAAACATTTAACACCAAAAACTAGTAGTCTCGGTATTTTCAAATTGGAGTCTACCATTTTTTCACCCTTAAAATTGACGGAGATATTAGGAAATTTGTCCAGATTCCAAATAGTTAAAAATAAACAAAACTTTTCAAATGTTCAATCAAAGACGATTTTCAAGTCGTCTCTCAATTCTCATGTTTATTGGGACACCCTGTAGTTGGGTATACACCTTGTCCTTGACTTTACTCTATATAAGGTCATAAAAGATAGTAATAAGATGTCATTGTATTGTTTACTTGATAATAACACAAACAGAGATGAAAACTTTTAAATATACGTGATAGTTAAACCGTCACTCATCTGTCCCAGATCAGAGATTCAACCAATGAGAGACCAGTATTCTGACATCAGCTGATAAATATAATGAGTTTAACTCCTTAGTCAAAAAATATTGGGCTAAAGTTAAAGAGTTGAGCTGTGTAGCTTAACTACCTTAGATTCAAGAGTTTTCATTCTTAAGAGACTGGGATGCTATAGTTTATTATATCCCAGCTCCTGGGATACTATAGTTTATTATATCCCAGCTCCTGGGATATTTAAGTTTATTATATCCCAGCTCCTGGGATACTATAGTTTATTATATCTCAGCTCCTGGGATATTAAAGTTTATTATATCCCAGCTCCTGGCATACTATAGTTTATTAAATCTCAGCTCCTGGGATATTTTAGTTTATTATATCCCAGCTCCTGGGATACTTTAGTTTATTATATCCCAGCTCCTGGGATACTATAGTTTATTATATCCCAGCTCCTGGGATATTTTAGTTTATTATATCCAAGCTCCTGGGATACTATAGTTTATTATATCCCAGCTCCTGGGATATTTTAGTTTATTATATCTCAGTTGTATGCTGATATAAACTATAACTAATACCATTCAGACATAGGTTTGGTTTGGCTTAATATGATTTGCAAAATGTTCAAAGTTTTGACAGATTATGCACCTTAGCTTCGCCTTAAAAGCAAAGTCATGAACCCGCCCCCCTCCCCACCCCCAACCTATACCACTGTTAAATAATGTAATGCTTGGATGAAAGGCGTGCATGCACATTGCACAGTGTAAACTTCAGGGTGCGCAGTATAAGCTTGCGGGTGGGAATTGAAATTGGCACAAAAAACTAGGTTTGGTTCGGACCGATTAGGTTTTTTTTCGATTAGGTTTGGTTTGCTTGGATTAGGTTTTGTTTGGTTGGATTAGGTTTGGTTTAAATGAATTTGGTTTAATTTTAATTGGATTAGGTTTTATTAGGTTTGGTTTGGATTAGTAAAGTTTGGTTTGTTGGATTAGGTTTTTGTTTTAATGAACTGGATTTGGCTTGGATGTATTAGGTGGGTTGAATTTGGTTTGGATTAGGTAAGGTTGGATTCTGTTTGGTTTGGTTCGAATGGATTAGGTTTGGATTGGATGGAATAGGTTTGGTTTGGTTGGATGAAAACCCCTGCGGTTATTTCTGAAGTTTTGCTGACTCACAAATCTTCAGTCTTGGTTCTCCAGACAGTTTTCTCATGCATCTTTATACCGGGTGTCAAAGGAGTTGGTCTCGACACAGTGTCAAAAGTCGATTTCATAATTTTAAAGGGAATTTAACTGCTTAAAATAACAAAAAAACTGTTCAGAGCTGAAAACTTTAGAATGGGATATCCTTAATCCCGATCGGTTAATTAATCTGGAGATTAAAAACATGAGGAGAACAAGCCATACTTAATCTGGAGATTAAGAAAAATAGTGGATCAAGCATTAATCCCGATATCCACCATTCTAAAGTTCCCAGATCAGTTAAAATTTGTGAAGCTCCATATACAATCAGATATTTTATCTAATCTTATAGTTTTTACTGGGACAGCCATTCAAGTCTGGTTTCTCCGGGTGCTGTTTAGAACTAAAGAAGGTTGAAGGGATTGGGAGAGAGCACGATGTTCTCATTGATTCAAGACTCAAACCGAGTAGAGATATGGGATCTAGTATATAGGATATAGAATATGAGATACAGGATATAGGATATGGTATAGGGTATAGGATAAAGAATATGATATAGGGTATAGGATATAGAATATGATATTGGGTATAGGATATAGAATATGAGATATAGGATATAGGATATAGAATATGAGATAGGGTATAGGATATAGAATATGATATAGGGTATAGGATATAGAATATGAGATATAGGGTATGAGATATAGGATATAGGATAGGATATAGGATATGAGATATAGGATATAGGATATAGGGTATAGTATATAGGATAAAGGATATAGGATATAAGGTATATGGAGGATATAGGGTATAGTATATAGGATATGGGATGTAGGATATAAGGTATAGGATGTTGGATATAAGGTATAGGGAGGATATAGGGTATAGTATATAGGATATAAGATAGGATATAAGGTATAGGATGTAGGATAAAGGATATAGGTTATACGGAGTAGGATTGCAGGGAATATAGGATATATGATATAGGACACAGGGAATATAGGATATAGGATATAGGATATAGGATATATGATATAGGACACAGGGAATTTAGGATATAGGATATACGATATAGGATATAGGATATAGGATACAGGGATTGTAAGATATAGGATATATGATATAGGATGAAGGATATAGGATATAGGATATACGATATAGGTTATGGGATATAGGATACAGGGATTATAAGATATAGGATATATGATATAGGATAAAGGATATAGGATATAGGATATACGATATAGGATAAAGGATATAGGATACAGGGAATATGATATAGGATAAAGGATATATGATATTTCATTTTAAAACGAACACATCTATCCCAACAAATACTTTATACGTTTTATCAAGACAGAACAATAGCGTTGGTTCTAAAACTTTGCAATCAAATATATAATTGCAAAATGATTAATACGATAAACTGAAAGATATCTCTGATGCAGGTTCAAAAGATTAAGGGGTTTGGGCCTGCCAAAGTAAATTCAAACCATTAAAAATCAAGCAACTAAGTAGTGGGAGATATCGTTGTTTCTGTGATTTTCTCCATTGCTAATTAGAAGGAAAGAATGCGGAAACCGGAAATGAAAATAAAGAGTGTATAATCGTCTAATTTATACTTGATCAAATTGTAAATCGGACATTGCCATTTTTGCATGGAGGGTCACTTGAAATTTCACCATTTAACTTTATCAAATTTTTAGAAATAAATTTATCCTTCTTAACTCCCATTAAAAACTAAATGAAATAATTCCATTCGAAATTTTTATCTGAAAACTGTGGGGCACTGCGCACCCAGAATTCTTTTAAAAAATATCACTACGTCTGTTCGTAGAGATTATGTCTTCTTATGTTTATCAGTTATCACGAAATTGCGTGCAAAAACGACTTTAGAAAAATAAAAGTCATGCCTTGAAATACTGATGCTCCGCGTCTTCCTGCCGCTCCTAGCTGCCGCTGGCATTTTTAACATTATTCTTTAATATGCAAACCACAGATTTTCATAAATACTGCAGTAAACAGTATCTTAAAACAGGTGGATAATAGATAGATAGATAGATAGATAGATATTAATTAGTAAAAAGATGAAGTTATATTATTACAAACTATGAATTCGTAATATCTCATCTCCTTCCCCCCTGGAAAGNTCTGATCCCTTGAGTTACATGTACTCAATATCCAGAACTATCTGATCCCTTGAGTTACATGTACTCAATATCCAGAACTATCTGATCCATTGAGTTACATGTACTCAATATCCAGAACTATCTGATCCCTTGAGTTACATGTACTCAATATCCAGAACTATCTGATCCCTTGAGTTACATGTACTCAATATCCAGAACTATCTGATCCATTGAGTTACATGTTCTTAATATCCAGAACTATCTGTCATCTATAATTAGACAAATGTTTCAATTGTACTCGTTCATACAACTCTAAAACTGAAAGGTCACTTGAAATTTTGTTTTAGTCCCTTTAAGTATATGGAGAGGTGGGTCTAGACTTCAGACGAGAAATTCACAAGATTTTTTTCTCAAATATAGTTTCTGAAAAATTAAGCTTTTTATCACTTTGAACAGTTTCAGATTATTTTTCTCATTTTTGCCGGATCCAGAAAAAGTTTAAAGTTAAAAACCTTTCTCATTATTCCAATTAATCAGTTTTATTTAGAATAATCTGTGTTGGATTCTGGGAAGCCCAGGTGGCTTAGAGTTAGATGCTTTAATAAATATTTTAAACGAAGCGAAGAACATTTTAAAAATTATTAAGAGAAGTAGTCCTTACAAAAAATAAAAATATCATTACTTTTAAGAGTGGATTAGGAGCAAAAACTTAGTGGGGGGAAGGGAAGGGACAAAGCCCCCCCCCCCCTCAATAGTTGGTAGTATCTAGAGAAAGATTTTCTGAAGAAAAACATCATTAAATATTTATTTATTTCTTAACAATTTTCAAAATAATACATATCAGTTTTCACGTAAGGTTGAAAATTGAAAATATATCTAAGTGAACATCAACAAAAGAATTAAGTTTGCACTTGCAGAAATGCAAATCATGAAACTGAAAATTAATTATGTTTAAACCAATTTATTTCTTGTTAGACTTTATATTTCAATCCAGCCACTGGGTAAATATACCCAGGCGGTTTAGATTTTATCTAGATTCATAGATTATAAAATAAACCAGACGGTTTAGATGTTATCTAGATTCATAGATTATAAAATAAACCAGACATAGGGCAGAGAAACTAGGTCATGGAGTAATTTGTCATAATTTTATTCTTGTACTTTATTAAAAGAGTGCCATAGCCGTACTCTTAAAAGAGACTATAATGAATGAGATATCCATCATCTTCTCCTAGAAAATTATTGATCAAATAAATGTTACTGAAGAGTGTTAAAAAAATGGGAATTTTGTGACCATTTTGTTTAGAATTAGCATTACAATATCTAATATTAAAAACATTTCATAGATACAGTGGTGAGCGATTATATCAATACAATGAAGACGACTTTTTTATTTAAGTTTTGATTGTTAACAAGCTTTTTTCGAGTTTACAAATTATCAAAGAGAAGTTTTTTTAATCGACAGCTTCTCTTTGTTTCTTTGTTTTATGTGTATCCATGCTTTTAAAAAGCTTGACATAAATCGAAATTGAAATCGAAAGTCGTCTTCTTTGTATTGATATAATCGCCTACCACTTTATTTATTTTTTAAAGTATATCTTATGAAAACGGTAAAACGTTGTTTTGCCATTCTGGCTTTTAACACGCAAACTATAGACATTGTTAGGGTCATATTAGAGTATTCTTTAGACTGTACAATGTACATAGTACAATGTACAGTGTACAGTTTATAATGTATAGTTTCAGCTAATTTTTTTATTGTTTCCTGCTTGCCGGGAAGTCTAGCAAAGTAACCGTATAATCGTCTATATAAATGCAAAAAATTTAAAAATTTAAATTTTATTTTGTTTTTAGTCTGACCCGGCCGATGAGGAGGTGTGGAATAAAAAACTTAAGGATGCAGAGCAATCCATCCCTCATCCCTATCCATCCAATCCTATCTATTCATCAGGACCCATCCCGGCACAGAGCAAGGTTAGTTGCAAGCTCTAGCCGCAGTGATCAGAGAACTGGAGTCAGCTCTGCATCCCCGAATTTTGCAATTTTCAAATCCCTTTATCTTTGCAAACTGATGGTGTAACCTTAAATAATTCAAACTTACTTTGAAATATCTATAGGTCTAATTATAGGGATTAAAAAAATCAGAGTTCGTGGCAAAGACTTAATTCCTTTATCTAGGGTTTATCTTTCTTCTAGAACATCTGCACCAATATTTTCTTTCCATTTTTCCGTTTTTTATATATTATATAATATATAATATATAAAAATATAGGTCTTCGATTAGTATTTTTGCAACTTTATTTAAAAGTTTGAATAAGTAATCTTCATTTGTTTTGTATGATTTTCTGATATCCAATTTAGTTTTTTTAAATTCAGAAAATATTAGTTATGATTTGTTGTGACCATGTTCTCCAATATTGTGTTTATTTAGCTTGTGTTAACTGGGGGTACTGGAAACGGTTTCATCTTACCCTGGAGCTTTGTTCCACCCAACCCACTCTACTTACAATCCCTCGCACAAATTCACAGGATCAAATTCTTCCTGGATCAAAAGCATCATGAGCAGAACCTGCCCCTGGATCAAACCTTGCACCTGGAGCAGAACCTAGGTTTAATCCAACCAAGAGAAGGTTCATCATTTCCTTTATAAAATTCTAAACTTTTCCGGGGTTTAGTCGTAGTGTCATTATTCTCCGATTTAAGGATTTAACACTGGCTCTAAACCCTCCCTAAACTGCAGGATATGGACGCATAAATGTTTAAAGCATGACTCTTCTTTCTGTTTCTAGAATTGGATGAGGAAACTCTAGGGTTAGGACGGAATGATGAGTTTATGGTTGGTATAGCTGCAGTACTAGCTGGAGCAGGGGTTGGAGAACGGAGTAGATTGGAGGTTCTCAGCGCAGTTGAGAGATTAGTGGAGAGATTACAACGAGCGGAGCAGGATAAAATTTCAGCTTCAGAAAGATTAAAAGGTAAAAATATTACTTGTTTTTTATGTAATGTAACAATGCTGGGCCATTTTCTTGGTATTTTTCACGGGTTCCTTGACAAGCCGTGCCCGCATATTTTGGTTTTAAACAAAAAAAAGATATTATTGTTTCTTATGTGTAAAAAATGTATGCCCTCTTAAAATTAATGTTTTCATAGAATTGGGTTAGCTGTCCGGTCCAGTTAAAGAAAATGATTTCTTTATAGTAAACCCGCCATTTTGAAAACCTTTCTTTTTCAGGAATGGAGGACAGAGTCACTCGGTTAGAACAGGAGCTCGCCTCGCAGCTCGTCCGGACCGAAGACGAACTTGCCACCCAACTAGTCCGGACCGAGAATGGATTAGACTCGTCCAAACATGAGGACGAGACGAGCAGTGACGGAGGAATAGAGTCCGGGACGGAAGCGGACGATTTCTCCGAGAAATGATAATTAGTCAGGGATAAAACATCCTCAAAGAAATTTCAAAAAGAGATATTTTTATGCAATGCTTTGATGTCGTATATTTTATATTTTATTAATTAACAATCTAGTATTCTCAAAAATTGTCGCATTAATACTAATTAATTGTTAAATAGTTCATTCACCCCACAAGATTTTCTTCACCATTGCAACAAAAAAACATTTTAAAAAGCGATTGATCAGCCAGTCATATAAAACTAAAATATATTTAGGTCACAATCCTGTAAAGTTCATACCTTGCTAAAAAAAGAATGATTCTAGAAATTGCAAATATTTTATATATATATTATATATGTATGTGAAATTGCAAAATGTCTGGGTTTCTTCTCTTGTTTCGGCTGATTTACCTAAGAGAAAGAGACCGCCATGTTTTTTCAACCTCGGAGAAAATTTTTCCGCAAATTTTTTTTTTTCAGTCTTTCTCAAGAGTACAAGCTTGCAGAAATTATAACAAATTTATGTAAAAGAATATATTATAAGAATACAGAGTACAAAAGTACATGATAACAAAAGTAAATAAGTACAGGAGTACAATAGTACAAGAGTACAGAAGTACTTTTATACAGGATGACAAGAGTTCAATAGTATAAGAGTACAAGAGTACTTTCATTCAACCAGTACATGTTCATGTACTAGCACACTTTTCATTCAACCAGTTCATGTTCATGTACTAGCACACTTTTCATTAAACCAGTACATGTTCATGTACTAGTACACTTTTCATTCAACCAGTACATGTTCATGTACTAGCACACTTTTCATTCAACCAGTTCATGTTCATGTACTAGCACACTTTTCATTCAACAAGTACATGTTCATGTACTAGCACACCTTTCATTCAACCAGTTCATGTTCATGTACTAGCACACTTTTCATTAAACCAGTACATGTTCATGTACTAGCACACTTTTCATTAAACCAGTACATGTTCATGTACTAGTACACTTTTCATTCAACCAGTACATGTTCATGTACTAGCACACTTTTCATTCAACCAGTTCATGTTTTTATAAATAGTACACACGTGAAAAACTTGCACAAAATGTAGATTAAAAATTCAAATAAAAATACAGATTTATTTTAACCTATTAGAAAACAACAAAAATGACAAAAAGTATTTAAGATAAATATAAAAAGAAAGAATACATTTTTATAGATTTGATAAATCATTATAATCTAACAAATTTTAACACCCCTCGGCCTAAATTAAACACTAAAAATGTATCGCCTTATCCTGTGAAACCTTTACAGTGTTTATAAAACAAAATTTTAATGAAGAATAAAATTTGAAACTTTTTTGATTGTTATTGTCTAAAATTTTGACAATTACTACATGTTGTCGGAAATGAGACAGTTTTATTCTATAATTACTGTTAAAATTATGACACTGTAATATAAGCATCAGATACCGGAGTTAAGTTTGGTTTTCTAGATTTAAAAAGAGACCAACTGAACTTAACTTCAGCATTAGAAATCTAAACTCCAGTCTCCCTTGTGTATCCTGCAGCAACTCTCTTCTGAGACTCTTCTCATATTTAAGGAAATAAAAAGTTGCAAAATTTTAAATTATAATCTCCACGTTGCGTTTTTATTAAGCCGGGCTCAGACCAGAATACATTTACAATTTGCTGGCTCATGCAATTCATTTACATACAGAGGGATTCATTTAACATGAGAACTAGGGTTAACCGACAGTGCATTAGTTGTTTCTCAAGTCGGGACAAAGAAATTTAATTTTACAAACGAAAATTTTGAAATTAACAGAAAAATTCACAAGTTTTTGAAATAATCATTGAATTTTCTTTCTCGAAGATTATACGAAGGATTATACAGGGTGTCCCACATCAAATTAGACCGCGTCAATGGGTCTAAATTACGATTTGGGGGACAAATCAGAAAATTTAAGAAGAATGAATCATTTAAAAAAATTTAATAAGGCTAATAGAAAATTTTGTTGGCAGAAAATGCTAGATTTTTCGCGTATTATGTGCTTATTTTGGCGTTAACAATTGTTGATAATCTAATATGATATGGGACGCTCTGTACTTTACAAAAAAATGTACAGAATGGACATCTCTGAGACCTCAAAATTATGTCTCAGTTTCATTTCCACATTAAATCTTCATATCCATATTAAATCTACATATCCATATTAAATCTAAAATTCGGTGATGGTGATGGACCAAACCTCTGTAGAGTAAAAAACGTAGATGTTAGTTCCATTTATTGAAAATATATTTCGGTCTGGGTTGACCCTCGTCAGTTCTTGAGATTGTTTCTGTATCCATATTAAATCATCCTTGGCGCTACTGGGGGGCTCTCATGGACCTCTCTTTAGACTAAGGGGTAACATTGAGGTTTGGTTTTTCGCCTATTCTCCTCCTTATCCTTTTCCTTCTTTTCCTTTTCCTCCTTCTCTTTCGGGTCCTCAAGGACTGATACCAGGGAGCTTGCAATTTCGAGAAGTTAAAGTACTCATTACCCTCTCAGAACCACAGTTTTAGCTCCACCTCTACACTAGCTTTTAAACACTCCCTATATAATCCCAGAACTCAATGAGTAAAACTCATTGTGGAGCAAGGTTATAATGCAAGGAAAGTTCATTGCAGTTGCGTTTACTCTGCGTACATATTGAAACCAGTTCTCTCTGGGCGGAATTTGTAAACAAGAATAGATGCATCAGTGTTCGTTTAGTATTTAGTTTAGTATTTAGAAGGTTAAAAGTATTTAATTTTGATAATTTTGATAATTCACATAATAGTTTCCTATGAACAGAATATTTCATTGATTTTTTATATGAAAGATGGATCCCTTGTCAGGCTGTGACATCCATCTTGTGTTTGCATCAAAGACGGTATATTACAAAGCTCTTTGGTTTACATTACTGCCCAGAGACAGTACACTGCAGTACAAAAGATGGGTAGACCTCTGAAATAACTTTCCTTAAATTGTAACCTTCTTGTGGAGTCTGTTAACTAAAGGTTTGGTTTATCACGTTCCATAGCAACAGCTGTAGGGGTCAGCTTGAGGACTGGTAGGATACAAGACAGAGAGAGAGATAGAACCTTCCTGCTGAAATGCTAGTACTGATTTCTGAACTTAAATGCCGGTGCTGAACTAAGACATGCCAGTACTGAACTGAGAAATGCAGGTACTGAACTGAGAAATGCCGGTACTGAACTGAGAAATGCAGGTACTGAACTGAGAAATGCCGGAACTGAACTGAGAAATGACGGTACTGAACTGAGAAATGCCGGTACTGAACTGAGAAATGCCAGTACTCAACTGAGAAATGCAAGTACTGAACTGAGAAATGCAGGCACTGAACTGAGAAATGACGGTACTGAACTGTGAAATGCCTATACTGAACTGAGAAATGCAGGTACTGAACTGAGAAATGACGGTACTGAACTGAGAAATGCCAGTACTGAACTGAGAAATCCCGGTAATGAACTGAGAAACGACGGTACTGAACTAAGAAATGCCGGTACTGAACTGAGAAATGCCAGTACTGAACTGAGAAATGCCGGTACTGAACTAAGAAATGCCGGTACTGAACTGAGAAATGACGGTACTGAACTGAGAAATGCCAGTACTGAACTGAGAAATCCCAGTACTGAACTGAGTAAATAAAGTAGATGTTAGTTCCACATTTTATTGAAAATATATTTTGATCTTGATGGTTGATCCTCGTTAGTTCTAACGATATAATAACCATCAAAATCGACAATAAAAAATGTTAAAAATCCACATGAAAATAAACAAACAAAAAAGATTGTTTGAAAAAAATGGGCCGCCAAATCGACAACAGAGATTAGAACTCCGATCATGTTTTGGAAAAAAGATAATTTGCAAATATTCACTTTTTAAAGAATGATTTAAAACAATTATTATTCCTTGAGATTGTTTCTGTCACGAAGATAAATAACAAATTGTTTGTATGTATAGTATATAAAGTAGTGGCAGGGGTCGATCTAATTAACCAAGGTTGTAATGCAAGGAACGTTAATTGATGTCGCGTATACTCTGCCTATATATTGAAACCAGTTCTTTCTGGGCGGAATTTTTAAACAAGAATAGATGCATCAGTGTTCGTTTAGTATCCGAGGAGGTTAAAAGCATTAAATTTAGATAATTTTGATAGTAGTTCCTTATGACTAGAATATTTTATTGATTCTTCTTATGTGAAAGATGGATCCCTTGTCAGGCTTCGACATCCGTCTTGTGTTTACATTACCGCCCAGAGACAGTATTACAGGATATTGAAGCCTTTTAAAGAATTGGACATAAACAATACTCTTTTTTCAAATACTGAATTACAGTTTACAATAAAATAAAAACTATTTTTTTCTGTTCATTCCTCTGAGTTCAGTCATAAAATCTCTAATGTAGTTAGATTCTCGTACTTCAAGTAAACTTCTCCCAAGGTCCAAAACTTTGGTTAATGAGAAAGTATCTCAATTGTACGACAAATTCATTTTAAACCAACTTCGAATATATTGGTAACCAATAGAAAAATCTTATATATAACCAAAATTATGATAATAGTTTAACCTAATAATTTTTAAGTATTTTTACCAATATTGACATGTAGAAAATAATGTATTTATAATGTTCAAAACTGGTTTTTCCTGCCATAAATGACAAATTACTTTTCCATTAAAAAATTAATTAAAATCAATACAATATATTATTCATCATATAAATACATTTGGTAGTCACATTCTAATCAATTATATTCTTTTCTATTCTATTTTGATCTATTCTATTTAATTTTATTCTATTCTATTCTATTCTTTAATTTTATTCTATTCTAGTCGATGTTATTCTATTCTATTCTATTCTATTCTATTCTATTCTATTCTATTCTATTCTATTCTATTCTATTCTATTCTATTCTATTCTATTCTATTCTATTCTATTCTATTCAATTCTATTATATTCAATTATATTCAATTATATTCAATTTTATCATACTCTATTCTATTCTACTATATTATATTCTATTCTATTCTATTCTATTCAATTCTTTCTGTTATAGTCTATGTTATAAAACTATATTATACTCTTTATATTCTTTTCTATTCAATTTTTTTAAATTCTAATCTAAAATATTCTATTTTATTCTATTCTATTCTATTCTATCATATTAAATTCTTTCCTATTCTATCATATTATATTCAATTTTATTCTATTCTATTATATTCTGTGTATTCTATTGTAGCAGTTGAACAAAACGCGATGATTTTGTGAACAGAGAATATTTCTCCCTATTTTCTGTGGTATATATTCTAGTTGGTTGAATCTATTTTTACCCCGACGACAAGTTGGGGGCCCGCAGGAAACCGGGATTTCCGATGAAAGGTTCACCTGGGATTTTGGACGGTTAGGGGTTCCCGAGATGATTGAGCAGGTCAACCTGCACAGGACAAAGAAGCAGTTGATAATGATCAACAGTAAGAGGAGTAGGAGGAAATTGGTTGTATTCTGTTTGAGAATCTCGTTACTCATATTCCTACAATCTACATATTATTCGTTTTCTTTTTTCATAAATAAAGTATTTGTCTTTTGAATCGTGTTATAACTTGGTCTGTGTGAGCTTGCAATTCGTTTAGTTTCCGTTACGATACGTTGATTCATTCATATAGAACACTATCATATTATTCTATTCTATTCTATTCTATCACATTATATTTTATTATTAAAAGTTCTCATGAAACTTTGAACAAGGTTGAAATTTATGAATAAAACCCATTTGCTATAATTGGTTTGCATAACAATAAACCTTGGACTAAAATTTGAACGATTTTTCTACGAAAAGAATTTAATCTTTGCCATAAACTCAATTATTACAATCCCTATATCTTTGCAACGTTTGATATTTTAAACCTTGGATTATTTAAACTTTATCAATTCCTATTTTAAAAGGTCGACAACATTGGAATGCAAAGATATGGGGATTTGAAAATTAGGGGTTGTAGCAAAGAATCAATTTCTGTTGTTTAAGAAAATTTTTAATGCAATTCTGAACAATTCTTTACCAAATTATGAGTTGATAATCAATTTAAAAAAAATATTACAAAAACAATAAAATAAAAATTGAATTCTGTAAATATATATTTATGTGCGTTTATACGATCTAAAGATTTAATTTGTTTTACAAGCCTATTAGAATATAAATATGATTCATAATAATTTATAATACTAGGCTTTTAGGCGCTTCGCGCCCATCTTCTATTTAAATTGTTAACATGTTCTTTTTGTTTACATTTAAAGACAAAGAAGAAAAAAATTTCGCGGATTTAAAAAAAAATTCTATTCAAGAACTTAATTTTTTTTACAAAATTAAAAGCCTTTAAACACATTTTTTTCAAAATTTGTATCATTCGTAAACCTTCCCTGTGGTCACGTGATATCCCACAAAAAAATTGGGCCCGATCGGTTCAGTGGTTTTGACGTTTATTGGATACAAACAAACAGACAGACACCAAAACATACAGACAGACAAGCCAAATTTATATATAGATTATGATATGCATTTTGATTGATAAAATTGTTTATAGGTTTTCCACTTTTAGCATGCTGTGGGAAATTTTAGCCCCCCATGGCCTCATTTTTTTTTAATTTTAAAAGCAAAACCAGAAAAGATTCTAATTGTCAAAGAAATTGAACACTTATTTTCAACCCCTACATCTTTGCAACCTGATAGTTAAATCCTTTGATATTAAACCTTTTTAGTATTTCGTCTAGTAAGAGTTATAAATTGAAATATATAAGGTCTACAACATCAGGTTGCAAAGATATAGTGAAAAGTTAGTGATTATCGTCTAGATCTAGATGGTCCTCTACCCTCCTCCTCAGCTAGCTGTCGAGCTCTCAACTTCTTCTCCACATCCTCTCTCATACCAAACCCGGCCAGATCATCCCGACGACGCGATCCATCTCCTTCATGTCTCCTCCGGGATCGATTATCCTCTTCTCCGCTCCTCCGAGATCGATTTTCCTCATCTTGCCTCCGATATGACTCCTCCGACTCATAATCCTCCATGTCATCGTCAACTTTTTGCATCTGAAGAGACCTAGGACGTTCTAATTTGTCTCCGTTCTCCCTTTTCCTTCTCCTTCTCTCATCAGGGTTTTCTTGCATTTTCTAAAAATACATTTTTTAAACAGAAAATATTGATGAAGTAAGCTGAGGCCTAAAGCTGAGACTATAAGCGTGATAAGTAACCCTCCTTTCAATGTCCGATTCACGGATGTACCATTAAAAGCTCAGCCCGATGAAGTGTGTCGAATTATATATAATTGTTATTATAAATCTTAAAATTGTATATTTTCAATAGTTGTTTTTCTTTAAAAGTGAATTGCGCATTTCTATTGCAGGAACAAATAAAGATTTCAAGGGTTTCGTTGTTGTTCGGGGTTTCTCGAGAATTTGCGATATTTAATTTTTACCAATTTCTAACTTAATTTTTTAATACTATTTTACCGTTTTCTAAAACCTCTTTTGTCCAATGTTTAACCAGTTTTATCCAGTTTTTTTTTCGAAACGTTGTTTAACTTATTCGTCTAGTCATTGTTTGATAAGTGAAATATATAATGGAGTGGTTTCCAGATAACAGTAAACTGATTGTTGTCTCCATTTTTCTTTTAGTTTTTAAATATCAGAACGGAATTTTTTATTTGTAACTGTTAAATATTCAGTGACCATATTTAATGAATAGAGAGAAGTAGCTGAACCACGCATACGTAGTTCAACCTCTTTATTTTAAGCTGAAGAGAATCAGTTGAACCACGTCTACGCGGTTCAACCATTTCTCACTTTTCATTAAATCTGGTCTCATGGCACTTAGTTTCAATTTACCAAGTTAATAGTTCCAATTCTAGCATAGTTCATTTATAAGGTTGGTTACTATGGATGTGCTCCAATGTGCAGAAAATGTCGTCTCGTTAGCATAGATAGATAAAATCCGCATATGACGTCACTGATTATAGAGGCGAGCATGAACCAGCCTTATTAAAGAACCTTGAATTCTTGTTATAAGAAAAAACGAAAACGGCAATAATTTTCTGATTTTCACTCTTTATTTCAAGTTCTTTAATGTGTTACCTTAACTTTCTTCATGTAGTCTTTATCATCAAAGATTTTAATTCTAAAGTAAAAAAATAGATCAAAAATTTACAGTAAAAGTAAAAAGTAATCTTATTTTTAAAATTCGGTGATGGTGATGGACCAAAGCTCTGTAGAGTAAAAAAAGTAGATGTTAGTTCCACATTCGTTGAAAATATATTTCGGTCTAGGTTGACCCTCGTCAGTTCTTGAGATTGTTTCTGTCACAAAGATTAAAATTTTGTTTTTGTTAAATTCATTATAAAATGTAAATTTCCAAACCACCCACGAAACCTTATTTTGAAAGAAAATTTTAAAAAGATTTTTAAAATTATTTTAACAACGTTTGTTTTATAGACTGATACTTAACTAGAGTATCATCATATTGTATGAGAAAGTCAGTTCAATTTGCTAGGTTAAAAGAATGAAAAATTTGCTTGATTGGTTCTATCTATTTTTAATGTGATTTTACACTTAAAATTAGGACTAATATTGTCAGAAAATGGAAATATTGATTAATTTTTCAAATCCTTTGAAAATTATAACGAAAAAAATCGCCTTTTACTTAAGAAGGATTTAAAAGCATTCATCATTTTTGTTTTGGTCATAAAAACTTTAAGACTCGTACTTGCAAAATCAAAAAATTGTTTTTTTGGGAGCAAAACTTGGATGGCTGCTAAATAAGCGACAACAAATCGCTTATTGGCAACAAAAGATCGTTTATTTGGCAGCCACACAATTGTTGCTGCCAAATAAGCAATTTTTTTAAATTTTGTAATTTTAGAGTGTATGAAAAGTTGTTTCCAGTAAGTAAAAGTAACCTTGTGACAATAAGATTTTTTTTTAAATTATCAACACAAAGCCAAAAATTGTACATTTATACCTTTAATTTTTTTAATGGGTCAGCGCAAACAGTTTGAGAAATCATCAATCACTTAGGGAGGTAGATTTTTTTTATTCAGTGCTTCAAGACGGATCTTTTGGTACCCGTACGGAAATATTTAAATAAATTATATTAATGTTTACACTAGTAAATTAATATTTACAGAAACGCTGAATGAATTTGAAAGTAAGAAAAAATAATTTCAGTTTTGTTTTATTTTTTAGAATAAAAACATTTTAAGACCCGTGCTGAAAGGATCTGAACAATTTTGTCAAAAAAGTGCCAATTGGTCCCACCCGGCCCTTTGTAAAAGTCAAAAGCGTAACAATTGACAATTAGTTCCACACTATTAGTAATATTTCAGTGTGTATCTACAAAACGAAATGCGCTTTTGCCACAAACTCAAATTTTCAAATCTTTGAAACCTGAGGGTGTAAAACAACTGAAGAACCGGTTCTGTTCTTTATCTAAGGTTATATATAGTAACAATCAGAGTTTATGACAAAGACTCAATTCATTCACATTTTTGCCAATATTTTCAGTTAGATTGTTTTCTCTAGGAATTAAGATAAGAACTAAAAATATTGGATGGAAATAGAAATATTGACAAAATTAATTTAAAAAAATATGAAAGTTGCTGAAAATCAAAAATAATCAAAATGGTGGAGTGAAACAAATTTAGGCTTTAACATGGATTTAGAACCAACATGCAATGTTAATGTGTTTTTAATAATGAGGTTTTCATAATGTTCGTAAAATATGCATATGCAACAATTTCAGAAATTAACTTTTCCCATAAATTACAATTCCCAGAAACCTTATAAGTTTTTATTTGTTTTTCATAAAATGGTTTGACATTAAAAAGCTGAACCTTGTTAAAATTAAATTATTAAATGAAGGTTACCTTCCACCTTGAGGTTTATAGTTTCTGTTACCCCGGGACTCAACCTTGGATTTTACGTTCTCAAAATCTGGAGCGGGGGCCCGCCCCACCTCTGGATTACGACGTCGTGTATTATTGTCCTCTGAGCGAGGCCGCCGACGTCGTCTTCTTCGAGGGGATTCATGTTTTGGAGATTCCGGTGTAGAAACCAATTCAGCGGTATCTGCGCGTGATGATATACCAGAATCATAAACTCTTGCACGTTCCGCTTCCAACTCAAGTTTCTCCTCCTCAAGCTTAGCATGCTCTTCCTGAACCCTTTTCTTCTCTGCGTCAAGTTCTCTTTGTATCCTTTTCTGTTTTTCTTCCAGAAGAAGATTTTCTGCAGCAACTCTTTTCTTGAATTCATCGTCACGCTGATGCTGAAGTTCGATGTTCAATCTTTGCTGATCTTCCCATACATTAATCTTTGCTTCCTTCTTCCCAATCTTTTCTTCCCTTTTCAACAAAGCCTCTTCACGTTTTTTGAACTCTTCCTCTTTCTTTTTTCTTTCCTCTTCAAACTTATCTCTTTCCTCAATCTTTTTGCTTTTCTCTTCATCATGAGATTCTTCTTTTTCATTAACAGCTTCCTCCTCTTTCTTCTCCTCTTCAATATTTTCTTCTTCTTTAACCTCTTCTGGCTTCTCTTCTTCCTTCTTTTCTTCTTCTGGTGAATCTTCTTCCTTTTTCTCCTCCTCTGGGGTTTCGTCTTTTTTCTTATCTTCTTTCACTTCTTCATGTTTATCTTCTTCCTTTTTCTCCTCCTCTGGGGTTTCCTCTTTTTTCTCATCTTCTTTACTTTCCTCCTCCTTTTTCTCTTCCTCCTCTTTTGCTTCTCCAGCCTTTTCTGCTGTTTCTTCGGTTACTCCCAAATCCGTCTTTAAACTTTTCACTTTTTCTTTAACAGCTTCATCATCCGGATGTTTCTCCAGGTATTTAGTGAAGTCCTCCAGGGCCTCTTGTTTCTTTTCTTGCTTCTCCCTTGCAATACCTCGTATGCAATAAGCTTTGTCATATTCAGCGTTCTTTTCCAAGGCCTTGGTGCAATCAGATTCAGCTAGATCAAAGCTCTCCTTCTTAATATAAACAATAGCTCTATTTGTCCATTGAATATGATTATCTTCAAGGGCTTCAACAGCTCCTGTAAAGGATTTCAATGCATTGACAAACTTTTCATTTTTAAATGATTTAGTGCCTTTCTCCACAAGATCATGTTGAACTTTCTTTGGGTCATCATCGGCTAATCCTAAAATTAAAAATTAAACTTTTCTATTGAAACTATCAACTTTAAATTATTACTAGAAAAAAAATTCAAAAAGTTGACAATACCTGCTTGGTCATAAAGAACTGTCTCATCTATCTCCAAGTCCATGTTCTTTGCATTATTTTTTACAATAGTTTAAAATCTGCAACAAAAAATTGTGTGACATTGCAACATCAGTTGATTTTTCTCCTCCCAAAAAATAAAAATAAAATAAAATCATTTTTAATGTGTGTAATCAGTAAAGTATGGTAATTTCTATTGCTCTCAATTGAAATAAGCATAGAAGTTGTCTCTAAAGACGCTTTTTAGGGTGCTGGGGCACTCACCATTCTTCAATTTTTAAAATTTTGGACATTTTTAAAATCTATGGAACGCTTCTGATTGATTAACGTCAATGAGAGGTATGTAGCACAAAAATTAATTTACTTTAACAGATTACAATCAAACTAAAATGATTAAGAATATTCACATAATGATAATTATAATGATATTTGACTTAAAGCTGGATGGGTCACATGGTGAAATTTGCGCCCAAAAGGAATTGAGTCTTTGCAACAAACTCTGATTTTCTAGTCCTTGTGTTGTTCCAACCAAATGTCGTAGACCTTAGATATTTCAAACTATGAATTATGTTAGCTTAACTGATCTAAGTTTGAAACATCAAATGTGTACAACATCGGATCGCTAAGATATTGGAATTCGAAAATTTAAGTTTATGGCAAAAACTCAATTCCTTTGCTATCCTTTTAGAATAACTGCGACTTTTTAAGATTTGTTTAAATGATTTGTATTTTTTTCAGACCCTAATGAAATTCCTTAAAACGGTAAAATTCAAATAATAAACTGTTCGTACTTATTAATGTGTGTGCTACATACCTCAAATTGATATGAACCGATTGGTAATGATTTCAAAATTGATCTCAAAATTTCAAAATTGAACCATAGCGCTGGGTAATTGCTCCAGCACCCTAAAGACCGTTTTCTTAGAGCCACCCTGCACACCAGTACTTTAAAACCTATGTTTGAGATGTAATTTGTCTAATATTTTTTATAGTTTTCACTTTTTAGGCTCTCTTAAAAGTGGCTTGCGGATTTAAGCGTAGAGACAAACAAGGAAATGGACATAATTTGTTTGTTTCAAGAAAGAAAAAAGACAAAATCATCCTCATTAAATATGGATAATATGTTGGTTATATTAACACAAAGGAATTGAGTCTTTGCCACAATTACTCTGATTTTCTAATCCCTATATCATTGCAACCCAATATCGTAGACCTTAAATATTTTAAACTATGAATTCTGTTAGATAAAATAATTAAAGTTTGAAATATAAAAGGTTTATACCACAAGGTTGCAAAAATATAAAGATAGATTTTTTAAAAATCTGAGTTTGTTGCAAAGACTCAATTCCTTTGACCTTACAAGAATGTAGACTAAGTCCAACTGACCGAGGTTTGGTAAAATCTTTGAATAATTAATCTGGTGAACTACAGAACTGGGGCCGGGGGAAACCATAACTACCAAAGGGCAGGACTGGACTTATATATATATATATCAATTCGAATACCCAGACTCAGGATTCAAGCTAGAATTTATATGCAAAAAAACTTTATATTTATTTTTAGAAAAGTTCGATCAAAGGAACTGAGTCTTTGCCAAAATCTCAAATTGTCTAATCTCTATATTTGTGCAACCCGATCGTGAAAACCTTTGATATTTTAAACGTTGATATGATCTAACAGAAATTTGAAATATCTAAGGTCTACAGCATTGGGTAAAAAAATCAGAGTTTGTGGCAAAAACGCAATTCTTCTCTTTAAGTATAATTTATCCTAATAGAAATTCAAAACATTTCTGTTCTTCTCTAAAGATCTTTACAAGCTATGATTGAAAGCATACAAGATTTAAATTTTACTTTTGTTTAAGAGATTGAAATAAGTTATTTTTTTTAGCTCAGTCTGCAGCTACATGGAAAAATGAATTTTAAATAAAACCAAATAAAATCTATCGGATCGTAAATGAAATAGAGACGGATTAAACGAAGTTTCTTGGACCCTGAACGCTCATGAAAATATGGAAACTTTTTATATTTAAAAGCTCCTCTATAGTGTTCAGATAATATTTAAGTCGATTTACATATTGTTCTATTAAAAGTTCTCAAGGAGAACGGAGCTTGAAGACGACATTTACTCTAATAATCCTTATGCTTACAACAAGTCAAATAAAAATAGAATTTAAGAACGATTTAGATCTTATTAACTCTTCGACTTTTTGATTATTTGATTTTAGATTGGCACAATTTAAAAAATCTTTGTAAAACTTTTAAAAAAAAACACTGATCAATACATCCTTTAAATATATTGGTTACCATTCCATACATATTCCACAAATCCACCACAGACATTTTTGAAATCTTATTTTAATATTTAGACAGTTATAGTCTGACTAAGAAGTTATATAGCCTAGTACTTAAGCTGGAGGGGACACCAGAATTCGGTCCCCTAGAAGACCTAGAATGAATTGATTAAATCAAAGCTTTTCAGCCTTACAATCAAAACAGAAGATGGGCGCTTAGGGCACTAAAAGCCTAGTATAGTATCTAATAAAAAGTGCTGCAATGTTCAAGAAGATTCCATAATTTAATTCTCGTGAAAATGAAATTTGGGTGTTTTTGGTTCCAAATCCATCGATGAGTTTTCGTGTAAATTGGATTGAGGGACCAATAGGAAGGCTTACAGTATCTCCGGTAACAGAATAACATTTCTCCTTATCGCTGTTAGGGTCGCCACATTGGTGTTTTCTTTCCTTTTGTGTTTTTAGTCCTCTTGGGTGAGTTTATTTACCAATGTTTTTACTTTTTAGACAAGGATTTTTAGGTGTTTTTCTTCTTATCTTTATTTTTTTTATCAGAAAAAAAATTCATGAATCACATGATGAACAATCGTGTGATATAAATTCTAGATGTAAGACGTAATATAAGTTTTTTTCGGAGTTTTTTTCTATCTAGTTGGTATTCTTTTATTCCAGGTGATTGGCAACGATCGGCAACCCATCTGAGCCTGGCAACTCTGGTCTGTGGTCTCTGTACTGGAGTCTACTCTAGTGAGTCTTTTTCTGGTGTGGTGTCTCTGCATGGTGGGGTTTCCATTCGCAAAACTTTTGCGCAATTTTTGCGGAACGAAACGCAAAATTTTTCATTTGAAAAAGTCATTTCGCGCAAAATTTCCCTATTCCGCTTTTGCCAAACTTTAGTTTTGCGCAATTCCGCAACTAGAGTTTTGCGCAATTCCGAAATTTCGTAAAAATCAAACGGTTAGTGACGGTGTGTGTTTCTTAGAGTTCAATTCTGGAAAAATCCTTTTTTGGAATGTCTTCCTACATGGTCACTTTTACATAATTGGCCAATGACAGTTAAGAAGAGTTCAAATCTCACGGGCGCGCACCTTATTCACTTCAAAAAATTACATAACAGGATTAAAATATTGCCAAGTTTCACACTCTCTAATTTCTATTTTATCAATTTTGGTCCCTTAATTTAAACTTTTTGTAACTGGAAGTATAACCAATTGAGTGAAGTATAATCGTTATCATACTCATATGTTTATATTTTTTAATGTATGGAATAAATCTTAGAATATCAATTTTTGACAATTTGCCTATAAAGTTACATTTTGCGCAACTTTCGCAAAAAATATTTCCGGTTTTGCGCAAATTGCGCAAAAAAAGTAGCGCAAAACCGCGCAAAATTCATTGCGTTTAATGCGCAAAAATAGCGCAAAAGCTCGCAAAAAAAAAATTTGCGCGAAAATAGCGCAAATTTTTCGCAAAAGATTTAGCCATTTCGTGGAAACCCTATCTCTGAAGTCTGACTCATTGTGCGGTGTCAGTGACCGATTGAAACGGATGGGGTATGGTCTGAGAGCTCAGATTACAAAATTTGAATTAATCACATTACATATACAATGCACTTTGCAGTTCAGTTCAGTGAGACGGTTAGTGCGCTTCAGGCTTTTTACTTTGAATTCGGCCTAAAAATGCCAGAGTTAGTGAATGCTCTCAATCATATAAGCCTATAAAAATTCATAATCATGCTTTTTCTAGGGTATACATATATCATGTAATGAAGTATAACGTCTTGATAGAGTTAAATAAAAGGTAATTTCCTAGAGAATTTGCTTTTTGGATCCAATGGGACCCGCCTCCATCTCCATTTTATCAATTTTGTACACATATAGAGCTAATATATATGTTACGCATGGTCAAAGTTGGCAATGCATGCCCGTAGCGCCCCTTGCCCGTCCTAGCCGCGACGTTCGGCCCCTATTTGTCTATCGGTCCAGAATTGTCTTAACCTTTAACCTATGAAACCTATTCCTTGAAATAATACTACTCAGTAAATATTTAATTTTGTTGAAAATATTGTCATGTATACTAAGTTTAATAGTTATTCTGATGCATCAATACATAGATTTTTATATTAATTTTTAATTTGACGTAATTAATTTTTCAATCTGAAATGATTTCTTTTTCAGATTAAATTATAGAAAATTAATAGAAATGGTTACATAGAAAACTTTTAAGCCAAAAATGAACCTTACTGAGAAGGAAGAGAAGGAGGAGAAGGGGAAAGAAAGGGTGATGAAAGATGATTCCCTAATAAGTTCAGGTAATCACAAATAATGGGTTTTAGGAGTGACCTGTAATTCCTACTTTGGGGGTGGATTAGTTGGATTCGTTTTCAGAGTTAGTTTTTTTTAATTATTAAATAACGACGACATAAAATGTAAAAAGTTCTTAATTAAAATACAGACGTCATGTATAGGAACATGTTGAGACAAAGATTTCGCATATTTTCGCGAATTATTATTGAAAAGACGACATTTGACGAATCTGAAGAAATCTGCGAATAAATTCAAAGAAGATAAGAAATTCAATTTAATAATGAAAACGAAATTATCGATTTTAGCATTGATTAATTGACAAATTTCTTTTAAGAAATATGTTCCTAACCATCTGATTAGATTACTGTATAATTTTTACTTTATTTTTCGTTGTCGTTATTTAATAATTTCAAAAAACCAATTCTGAAAACGTATCCACCCCCAAAGTAGGAGTTTTGAACGTCGAATTTGAGCTGAAACTCAGGATTTACAGATCTTTAAAAAGTTTTATATGTCTCAAATGATTCAGAAAAAAGTTTTCCACAACACTGCATACTCGGTTCAACTAATATCTTCCAAATAATTAATTTTCCTAGCATTATCAAGGTTTAAAATTTACCTTTGTAAATAGGCGATGCCGTTCTATAAACGGAAAGTCGCTTGAAATAAAAACAGTGCCACAAAAAGTATTATCCTTCTAAAATGGACGATCCATCAGGATTTTAAGATTTAATTTGTGCTACATGGCTGAAAGTGAGTAATTTAAAGGTAGCGTTTATAGGTAGTGCAAAGAATACGGTTAAGAACCAAAGGAATTGAGTCTTTGCTACAAACTCTGATTTTCTAATCACTATATCTTTGGAACCAAATGTTGCAGACCTTAGATATTTCAAACTATGAATTCTGTTAGATCAAATAATCCGAGTTTGAAATACCAAAGGTTTTCAACATCGAGTTATAAAGATATTGAGGTTTAAATATTTGATTTTGTTCCAAAGACTCAATTCCTTTTTGAGCAAATGTATAGGCTAAGAGCCAAAGACATACACACATTTACACCGTATATAGGTCTTAAATGAATCTTAAAAAATGTCTCTACAATATAGCATACTCATTACTCACTATTCAGCTCAAATATACCTGTCTAGTCAGTCAGCTCATTTAACCTTATAGTTACAGATTTCATGAAATCAAAAGCTTTAGGTTTTACAATATTAATAGCTACAGGTTTCAATATATCAATAGTTACAGGTTTCATAATATTAATATTTATAATTTCATAATATTAATATTTAAAGGTTTCATGATATTAATAGATATAAATTTCATAATATTAATAGTTACAGGTTTCATAATATCAATAGTTGTAGGCTTCATAATATTGATAGTTACAGGTTTTATAATATTAATAGTTTAAGCTTTCATAATTTCAATAGCTACATTATAATATTAATAGTTACAGGTTTCATAATATCAATATTTTAAGGTTTCATAATATTAATTGATACAGATTTAATTATACTAATAGTTACAGGTTTCATAATATCAATAGTTGTAGGCTTCATAATATTGATAGTTACAGGTTTTATAATATTAATAGATATAAATTTCATAACATTAATAGCTACAGGTTTCATAATATCAATAGTTGTAGGCTTCATAATATTGATAGTTACAGGTTTCATAATATTAATAGTTTAAGCTTTCATAATATCAATAGTTAAATTATAATATTAATAGTTACAGGTTTCGTAATATCAATAGTTGTAGGTTTCATAATATTGATAGTTACAGGTTTCATAATATTAATATTTTAAGGTTTCATAATATTAATTGATACAGATTTCATTATATTAATAGTTACAGGTTTCATAGTATCAATAGTAACAGGTTTAGTTTTTTTGTTACTATTCTTGAACTTATTGAACGTCATGTCCCAATTTTGATTTGTAATTTATTTGATCATTTAGAAGGAACTGCAGAAGAACGTGGCGACAAGAAAGACGAGCTCTCTGAAGGAATAGAAGAAAATTGTAGAAAAGATGAAGAGAAAAAAGAAGAAATCATTTCGAAACTGAAGAATACACCTAGAAAAAAGTCCCCACCAGGTCACAGAGCTTAAATCTAAACTTTTCATTTAAGCCTGGCGTTGCCTGGGAAACTTTTAGTTTATCTCACCCCCAGGCCGTACCTGATACCCACGGGGTTTCTTAAAAATATTCTAGCAAATTTTGGTCCAGCCGTTTTGTCAGCTTTAGCCAAGGTTGTAATGCAAAGAAATTTATTTCAGAGGTGTACGTATCTTTTGAACTGCAGTGTACTGTCTCTGGGCGGTAATGTAAACACAAGACGGATGTCGAAGCCTGACATGGGATCCATCTTTCACATAAAAAATCAATGAACTATTCTGGTCACTATTATGTGAATTACCAAAATTATCAAAGTTTAATGCTTTTAACCTGAGAACTGGTTTTAATATGTACGCAGAGTGTACGCAACAGCAATTAACTTTCCTTGCACTACAACCTTGGCTATAGCTAACAAATATATCGTTATAAGCGAAGATATTTCAGTTTTTAACTTCACATTTTTATTAAAAAAGAATTATACTAAACGAAGATAAGCGAAGATATATAGATGTGTCTATAACTACAAGGATTAGACTTGAAAAAGAATGATAAAAGAATCTTTGACTTGTATTCAAGTGACTCCATTCAAAGAATGGGAGGTCCGATTCTCAACAGTACCCTTCAAATTCGTGTTTGTTTAAATACTTGCAAGCCAATAGAACGACTATAGTCTATATATTTTAAAACTTCTTAATCAGTTAAATGTTGATTTAGTATTAGTATTAATGTGGCACTCCCTTCTTTACTAGAGAGTCTCTAAGTCTTATGCTTTTTTATTTTTGGGAAAGAAAAATTTTGAATTTTCTCTTTCGTTTCTTTTTGCAACACCAACAGTTTTAAATATGTTTTATGAAACGGTGGGTTGTATTTTTTCAATTGCACTTTTTCAGGACGAATTGTGGAAGGAAGGGTTGTAACGATAACACAGGACCGAGAAGCTCAAGTTATATATTTTATCCGAGAACAAGGAGCTCATGGTGTTGGAGGAGAGGATATATTCCTTCATAGTTCCAGGATTCAAGGACATCTACCTCTACACTCTAGGTACACCCTCTCNTATTGAAGCACAGTAGGTTAGGATATTTGAAAGTAAGAGAGACAGTTAGTTATACTGAAGCACAGTGGGCTGAGATACTTGAAACTCCAGGTTAGAATATTGAAGCACAGTAGGTTAGGATATTTGAAAGTAAGAGAGACAGTTAGTTATACTGAAGCACAGTGGGCTGAGATACTTGAAACTCCAGGTTAGAATATTGAAGCACAGTAGGTTAGGATATTTGAAAGTAAGAGAGACAGTTAGTTATATTGAAGCAAAGTGGGGTTAAAAGCAAGAAACTCAAGGTTTTCTGTAACATTCCATCAACAAAACGACATGTTAAGTTTTCTAATATTCCATTTTGACAACTAAAAAAACTTCTTTACCAGTATAGACAGTCCCAACATTTCACTACTTTTTTTTGGCCTACGCGTTTAAAATTTTCAAGTACAGGGTTAACCACAAACAATGAGACTTCAATGACGACCTAAAACTCTTTTGGGTAATCCTACATGAAGAATATCAAGCCTTGTGGGTAATCCTGTATGATGCATATCAAGCCTTTTGCGCCATTTTTGATGAAAATTATTTTGATTTACCTAGCTCTATTGTTCTAAAAATATATTAAAAAAATTAAATGTTAGGATTAAAAAATATTGTTCCTCTTAAACGCCTGAAGCCCGGCTGGACGATGGGAAATATTGTGTCTAACGGTGAAGATAAATCCAACAATATAATCTACTATGTCCGAGGACAATCTGAAGCAGGGGTGTATATTTTGTGGAAAAATCATTACAGCCCCCCCCCCTTTAAAAAATCATTCCCCCCCCCCCCAAGTTTATTTGCTGGATTAAGAAAATTAATGGTTTTAGAGGAAAATGAATTAATTTTTGGGTAAAAAGTATTTGAAAGAATGAAAAATGTACCTTTTGATCACCAACTTTAAATTTTTTCCGGATATAATAAAAAATCATTTCTCCCTGAAAATTCTAAAAAATATACTCCCCTGATTTGAAGATGTTGAAGAAAACAATTTGTTTCTGCACAGCAGACACCTGCCATGTACAGATCAAACCTTTAAGCTGCAGTACGGTACAGAGATATACTTCAAGGTAGGGGATTAAACTCATTTTAGGGTGCATTTAGAACTAGGACACTGCGTTACACTGTAAAATACATTGTAACATTTCGGGCAATAAAAACATAATTTGACATTTCGGGCCATAAAAACATAATTTGAAAAAAAACCTTTTCTAAATATCAACTGCACTTAGGAGAGGGGGGGTCACAATACAGAATTTGATTGTTACCTACAGGGTGACCCACTAAGGATGAGACTTAAGAGACGACTGAACATAATTTATTATGTCAGTTTTCTTATATTCATGGTTCCTTGCAACTGTAATTTTGTGTCGCTATTGGCCAAATTATTGAAAAAGCCATTGCACGACATTAAAATCAAGACAGTAGACTTTATTCAACCTTGGAATAATCATATTTTTCAGTCTCATTCTTTTGTTTCACATTGTACAATGTACAATATACATAAATGCTTCAATATGTTGACCGTAAATTCCGTAAATATAACTTTATAACACCTTTCAAGCTAGAAAACAACGATATCTCCCACATTATTTATCAGATAAAGGTTTCGAGGGTACCATTGTGAATCGGACATGTCCCTTCTTTTAATGCAAGGTCCTTTTAAACAATATTTTTATTACTTAAATAAAGGAAAGAGAGCGTCAAAGTGGAGACTGTAAAGAGATTGGAGATGTGGAGATTAACAAAAGAGTTTATCACCTGGAAGAACTCTTCTCCAGGATAGAGGAGAAGGTGGAGGAGTGTAGGAGAGAGGTTGAGATAACTCCAGTTCTCCTCTCTACTCCAGCATGGGAATTTATAGGTTGGAGATTTATCAAATCTATATATATATATATACTTTGCTTGTCTGTCTGTCCGTTTGTATCCAATAAACGTCAAAACGGCAGAACCGATCGGGCCCAAATTTTTTGTGTGGACTCACGTGACCCAGGGAAGGTTTATGGGTGATAGAATTTTAAAAAATTTGCCTCCATCAAAATTCTATTTTTGAAAATTTGAAAATCCATATTTTTTTATATAAAATCCGCGGATTTTTTTCTATTACAATGTACACCAAGAGAACCTCTAAATTGAATTGGAAGTTGGGCGCGAAGCGCCCTAAAAGCCTTGTTATTAATATTAGTTCCCAGTAATTATTCTTCTGTTCAAAAACATATTTTCATTTTTTTCAAAGAAAGAGCCTACTACTTAACCATTCTTTCAAGGAAGAAAATCTAAAAAAAAAATTATTTATCTTTTACAAAAAAAAATTTCCTTTCTTTTATCATTTTTTTCGGTTCTCGGCTAGTTGTTGCAAATATACAATATTTTTCCAATTTTTGAACAAAATTGTGACAATATTGAATATTTACATTGCAACCCTGAAACCAGGGTCGCAATGTTAGATTGTAAACATAGAGATGCAATCTAATTTCGAATTGTTATGCCAAGAAGTTGCGGATTTACAACTCCAAATACATTAATTATGTTTGATTTTTGAAATCAAAAACATGTGTAACAAAACTAAATAGATTCTTCAGTTTTTAAAACCTGAAGTAGGATGATTTTTATGTAAAAATAAAATGTTACATTTGTTTAGAAGTAGAAAAACTCCATAAAAAAATTGTTTAAAAGTTGAAAAAATTACACATCTCTTCATTCACAACAAGGATGCAATAGATACATATACATTTCTAGGTTCAAGGTTAAAGGTGGCGAACATGAAGAGGTTTATCTCTGTACAAAGACGATTATTCTCCATGAGATTAATCTCCACGAAGCTCCTCCACCAAGTCCTAGAGGTGTCTTGTTCAACCTGGATATTCAACCCTAGATCGGGGATTATGAAGGTAAACATCATCATTCAATTGTATTCGTTGTCTCTGCTGTCTTCATTTCCTTTCCAGTGCCTGTTTATCATTTTAGTTGGTTTTGTTTTTTTTCATATTTTTTATCATAAAATTTGTCATAGTGAAATGAAAGCAAATGTTTTTGATATCTAAATATGTGCAAATTTTTACCCTGATAGAAAATATATTTAAAAAAAGCAATGAATGAAAGTTGTTGGTTCGTTTTCCCATTTTTAAGGATATTTTAAGGGTAAACATATGACAAAGTTTAATAAAGCAAACTTGAGCAGAATATACAGTCTTGAAACGTTGGAAGTTTTATTTAAAGTTAAAAGAAGTAAACCAAAACAATTCACACATAGAGTAATAAAACGAAGAGGTGAAGCTTAGCTCAGATGTAAACCACCGACCCGTCTATTAATTAATAGACAGGTCGGTTGTGTACATCACGATATGTTATCTAACACTGAACACTTGTAAATAGAGCGATCATATTTCTAAAGGGCGATTTTATGGAATTGACCAATTTTTAGATTTTCTTTCTTATTTTAAGAGAATTCGAGGATGTTGACTGCAAACATTTGACAATTTTCAAATTTGTAGGTTTTCAATTTATTAGCTAAAAGTTCTGTCAAAAATATTAAGTTTCTAGGGCTTGAATTTAACTAAAAACATTCTTATTTCAAACATTTTTTATTGTTTCTTCTCTTCAACTCTTTATCATAAACATGATAGTGTATGCAGGGTTACCCATAAAAATGAAACAACGATGACGAACCCTAAACGGGGGGCATTTGGCTCCCCCTCTATTTTTTTACTTTTCATGAATATAAATTTAAAAGATTTTTTGGTAATTTTTTTATGCCTAAGGTAGGGTGCAGAGTATGTAAAAAAATCTTAAATAGCCCATAACATTTTTTATGACTAAAGCTACAGATCTGAAAACTATAGTTTTGAAAAGCCCTTGAAAAATGGGTGAAGAAACGTTTGTCACACTTTGATATTTGTTTTAAACAAAAAATATTTTTTTACATTTTTTCGACTTAATCTATCTAATTATCAATACTAATATTCAAATATCTACATTAAACCACTTCTTAGAAATACGATCGCTCTATACAGCGTTAGATACGTAAACATATCGTGATGTACACAACCGACCTGTCTATTAATTAATTAATAGACAGGTCGGTTGTGTATATCTGAGCTAAGCTTCACCTCTTCGTTTTATTACTCTATGAATTCACAACACTATGTCCTATAGTCACTTTTATTGGGAAACCAAAACTGAAAATTATCCTTATTATAGCTTATTAGTTAGAAAGGATAACGTCTTTATTCTCTTTAGACAAAGTTTTAAAGGGTATGACTATGGTTGTGAATCGAATATAGAAGTGGATTCAGTCCCTTTCACACGGACAGCTATAGTACATTTGAATTTCCGAGCCTGGTCAACCTTTCCGGTCCCAGTTTATACTGTATCGCCCGGACATTGGGTAAATAAAGCAGACACTCAATAGGACTAGCCGGTGCAACAAGGTTGACGCGGTCAGACTTTAGGTTGAATTTACTTTTACTGAAGGCTCAGAGGTTGAGCATTTTATTTTTTGATACTAATATTCTTAAATAATACAATCAAGCGATGAAGAACTCGCAAGACTATTTCTTTCTGAAACCCCAGAGTAAGTAGTGACTCAAAGCCAACAAGGTTATAGTGTATAGAGTGATGATGTACGCTAATCCTGATTTATGAAAATATTTAAATGGAGAATTTGTTTTCCATGTAACTATTAAAATCCACTACTCCTTTATCGTTTGCAGGATTCCATTTAACCAGGAAGATATACATTTACAGTCTTTTACAGAGCAATATTTCATCGTTAATCAACTGCAGTTCTGAGAAACCTGAGTAAAATTTAAGATAAACAACATCCCCATACACTTGTACTCCAAAGGCGTACTGCATATTTGATATTTGTACTGTATGAATAGGCCATAATCTCTTATCCCATTGTACACTCAGGCCAATATACACGGAGAGGTAGCTAAGATCCAGCCCCCCTGCTCAAAGCTCATGTTTATATAAACATGTACTTATATATTTTCTCTGACATCAGCAGGATTATTTTGATAACAGTTTTTCTACAAATATTGACAAATCGAAAGATAAGCGTCTTATATTTAAAATACGAATTTGCGAGGAAAATAAAAAATACAACCTTCAATTAAATTTTAGTATATCAATAAAATTTATACATAAAGTAGTAATCTCTGGTTGGTTGTTTGTTTGTTTTTTTGTTGGGTGCTTGTTTGTTAGTTTGTCCGATTATAACTCAGAAACCCTCTGGATGGATTTGCTTCAAATTCTTATTGGGGGACTCGGTATAACTATGGGAACGTTGTTAGGCCGACTGGGAAAACTAAGTTTCCAGGTAGAGCTGGGTACCCAAGTTAGTTTTTAAATAAAACTTGGCAGAGACAAGTCCAGGGATAGCCTTTGTTATACAGAAAGGATAAGTCAAGGGTAGTCCTTGTTATACAGAAAGGATAAGTCAAGGGTAGTCCTTGTTATACAGAAAGGATAAGTCTAGGGTAGTCCTTGTTATACAGAGATATTCTTTGTTTTATTGATAGAACAAATCCAGGGATAGCCTCTGTTTTACAGATAGGACAAATATAGCAGTAGTTTTAATTTTACAGATAGAACAAATTCAGAGAACAAATCTTTTTTAACTTTAAAAAATATTATTCCATTTTAAGTTATGCGGTTCTGCTTTTCAGCTTTTCTCTTAATTGAAAGAATTGCATAATATTATATTTGTTTCCAATAGTTGTCATTTTCATATCTTTCCAAAACAAGTAGAAGACAACCTCCAAGTCTGCACGTGAGACATAAACACAGACTTGGCATACACATACTGTTCATAAGCACTTACGGGATAGGCTAAGTAGGCCTATAGTTGTCCCAGCACGCCATGAAAGCACTTCTTGCAATACCCAATACCCATTCAGGGGTTAAGGTTTACAATTCTTCAAGAAATACTCTGACTTTTAACAGAAAACATAAATTATTTATGAATTTAGTCTATTTTTGAAGGTTTTGTATTTCGTATCCAAGGAACCCTTATATATCCCTGAATACATACGTCTGCTTATTAGTCGTGTACTCCAGTGGTACACGATGGAACCTGCTGGTGGACAATGTCGCCTTTTCTAGCCTTTAATAGATCTCCGCATTCTCTCATCTCTGGACCTAACTCTCAACAGTTTGTTTTTGCTCTCTAACATTACTTTTAAACCTATGCAGATGTTACACAATATGGAATAATTTTAAAGAAAAATTGAAAAATGAATCATTAGAATTGCCGCGTCCCGCACCCCTCCTAGTTTTTGATACGTTTCCCCTAGGAACCCAAACAATTTTGTTCCTTTAAAGGAATTGAGTCTTTGCCACAAACTCTGATTTTCTAAACTGTATATGTTTGCAACCCCAATGTCGTATATCTTAGATATTTCAAACTATAAATTCTGTTAGATTAATTAACCAAAGTTTGAAAAATCATTAGTCTACACAATCAGGTTGCAAAGATATAGGGATTATAAAATTTGAGTTCGTGACAAGGACTCATTTCATTTGCTCATTTTCTCTAATTCGTAAGGAAAATAAAAATCCACTAATAAACTGAAAAGGTTATAGTTTAAAAAATGATTTTTCTTCTTCAGAATCCCCAATATAGTCAATTCAGATGCAATGATGCATCTATACGATTACCCACGGGCAGCCGTAGTACATTTGAATTTCCAAGCCGGGTCAACCTTTCCGGTCCCAGTACTAAGCTCTATGGAAAGGACTAGCCGGTGCAACAAGGTTGACGCGGTCAGACTTTATGCTTCATATAGGCTGAATTTACTTTTACTGAAGGGGCAGATTTGCGTGTACCATGCATTTACCTTTATGCTTTTTTAAATTCATGCTGTTGAATTTTTACATATTCAGTTTATTGAATGAAAGTTACTTTGGGGGTGGATACGTTTTCAGAATTAGTTTTTTTTAATTATTAAATAACGACAACGAAAAATAAAGTAAAAATTATACAGTTATATAATTAAATGGTTAGGAACATATTTCTCAAAAGAAATTTGTCAATAAATCAATGCTAAACTCGAGTATTTTGTTTTCATTATTATATTGAATTTCTTATTTTCTTTGAATTTATTCGCAGATTTCTTTAAATTCTTCAAATGTCGCCTTTTCAATAATAATTCTAGAAAATCTGCGAAAATCTTTGTGAATAATGGAAACCAGAATAATGAGAAAATAGAAACTAATAATTGAACAAGATTACTTATTTTCGATGATAAGATTAATTTTTATTTTCTCAACATGTTCCTATGCATGACGTCTGTAGTTTATTGTAGAACTCTTTTACATTTTATGTCGTCGTTATTTAATAATTAAAAAAAACTTTAAAAAACTAATTCTGAAAACGTATCCAACCCCAAATTAGAAATTTTGAACATTGAATTTGCGCTCAAACTCGGGATTTACAGATCTTTAAAAAGTTCTATATCTCTCAAATGAATCCTAAAGAAGTTTTCCACAACACTGCATACTCAGTTCAACTACCTTACATAGCCGGTCACTCCCTTTAAACAGTTCACAATCCAAAAAAGTCTTCATTGACCGTGGACGTTTTAATAAAATTTAACAAGACTATTTTTATTTCTCTTTATTCTGTTACTTCTGTATATCAAGAAGTACATACACTAACATTCGTCGTCGTACATATCAATTCATATATTTATACATCTATATATACTTGTATACTTTAAACTTGTTACATGCAAAAAGCTACTTAGAGACCAAAACTCAAAGAAAAGTCGTCTTCACGGTATTGGTGTTTACGCCGATCACAAAGACGACTTTCATTCTGTAATTTTGAATATATGTTTAGGAGTATATAGAGGGGTTGGAGAAGGATGAAGACCGTGTTGAGATATTTGAATATTTTCTTGAATTAATGAAACATATTCCTCAGATTTCAAGCAGTATTATTCAGCTTATACAGGTCAATTTTTTATTTTATACTACGAATTTATTGAATTTGAGCTTGGTCGCTAAACTATCCCTACCGTCGATTCAAATACTTATCTGCAGTTTTGCAGTGCTGTTTAAAACTTATTTGAAAGAAGGACGGTATATATACTTATCGGCCTCAAACGACCTCGAATACTGAAACTATACGGCCACGGGGCGTGGCAAAAGTAGGAAATGGGATCGGTGATTCAGGATTTACTCGTCCTATGATGCAACCAACAAAACTACATGTGTATTTAGATTGCAGAACTACAGATACGTGTTTAAATCGACGATAGGTTGTTCGGCGAACTAGCTTAAATTCATTGGTGCCAGGTCAAGCAGGTCCCTGTTCCTAATATATGTAATAAAGAAATTTCATTTTTTGCGCTCTATTCCTTTTTTCTTGGCGTTTTTCTGACATTGATAATTTTCTATTTTCTAAGCAATTTAGAGAATAAACTTAAACTTGTGAAAAATCTTTCATTTTCTTTGATTTATTATTATCAAATTTAAATTTAAATTGGGTGAAGGGAGATTGGTTTATTTTTTAAGAATATTTTCCCCTGTAAACCTACTTTAGGCTTTAAAATGAAGCCGTGGAAAAACTTTATTTGTAGGTGTTCACTAGACAGAAAGTAGAATCCCCCCTGGTTTCTGTTTACTATCAGATGTTGAAGAATATCACTAGAAATTATATGAAACAGCTTCAAATACAGGCAAACAGTAAAATTCTAAAATCAAGGTTTATTTTAAAGGAAAATTGCAATTTTTTCAAATTTTAATTTTTCAAAAAAAGTTAATAATCAGTTAAAATGAGGAAACTGTTTTCCCTTTAACTTAAGAATTGTTATTAAGAATTTTGTAAAAATGATATCTCCAAAAATATTAAGGTGTATTTTTTTTAATACAGGGTGTCCCAAAAAACATGGGAATTCAGTGACGAATTCGATATCGTCTTTTCAAATAATTCTTTGATTTAGTATCGTGATACCTACTGAGAAAGTTGTAATCTGTAAGAGTTTCGTCTGCTATGTTCACATTTTGTTTGTTTATATTTTGACTGCACACGGTTGTACTTAGTAAACAAGAAAATTGCAGTATACAAACAGAGTAAACTTGTCCGTCTTCACTGTTCATCTTGCGGGGACATTATAGACACATCTTTACAGTCTTTTACCCTTTTCATAAAATAAATTCTAGCAGACCTATTAAAATTATGGCTGTTGAAATTAGGTATTACAATGCTAATTCATAACAAAGACGATATCGAATTCGTCACTGAATTCCCATGTTTTTTGGGACACCCTGTAGTTCAGTAACAAATTACAAACAGCCAACACGATATTTAATGATTAATAGAAATAAGAAGAAGACGATAAATTTGTTTTTCTGTTTGACATTTCTGATATTTTGGTTTTAATTTCTGAAATGTTTCTGTTTGAATAAGACTACCTGTTTCCTGGACTACAGCCAGCTGCCACTAATCCCAATACAAGAAGAGATATTCTTCCATACCAATATAATGTTCCAGGTGAATCCCAATATTAAAGATATTCTCCCAAACCAATATAATGTTCCAGGTGAATCCCAATATTAAAGATATTCTCCCAATCAAAGTAAATCCCAATATTGGAGATATTCTCCCAAACAAATATAATATTCAAAGTGAATCCCAATACTGGAGATATTCTCCCAAACCAATATAATATTCAAAGTGAATCCCAATATAAGAGATATTCTCCCAAACTAAAGTAATGTTTCTGAGGCCGAATTTATAGAATTTGAGCCGCGGCTCAAATATGGTTGGTTTAACTTAAATTGTATTCACTGTTTCAAGATTTAAGCAAGTGCTCACTTGAAACCGATTTTTTGGCGGATTTGAGGCGAGGCTCAAATTCATTAAATTTGGACTGATGATGAGGATGAAGATGAGGCTCCCAAGAAAGCTCTAATTGCTAAGAAAGCTGATTGTTCATCTTCCAGTGATTAGATTCAGAAGATGAGGCTCCCATGAAAGCTGTTGTAGCTAGAAAAGCTGATTCTTCCTCTTCCAGCGATTCAGATTCAGAAGATGAGGCTCCAAAGAAAGCTGTTGTTGCTAAGAAAACTGATTCTTCGTCTTCCAGGGACTTAGATTCAGAAGATAAGGCTCACAAGAAAGATGTTGTTGCTAAGAAAGCTGATTCTTCAGCTTCCATTGATTCAGATTCAGAAGATGAGGCTCCCATGAAAGCTGTTGTAGCTAAGAAAGCTTATTCTTCATTTTCCAGTGATTCAGATTCAGATCTATATGAAATTGAACATTATACGTTTACATTTTCAGTGCAGTATTCCCGATTCACAACAGTACCTTCTTTTTCTTTATCTGGTTAATATTGTGGAAGTTAATGTCGTTTATCAGACTAAAGAAGTGTTACTTTCGGAAATTTTCATTTTCTGCATATTATCATAATTTATTAGTGAAATTAAAAATAATTTTAGTATTGTGATCTGTTGTATTTCTTATATTGATTGCACATTTTATTGGATAAATTAACGGCTCGTTTTTGGATGATTATATGAAGACGACTTTCAATTTCAATCTTATTCATAACTTCTCACCTCTGGTAATTTCGACATGTTTGTTCAGAGCAATCTGTCCCCTGTGCGACCCTTCAGCCCCTACCCGGACGAGGAGGACTACATGGAGGTCTACTTCAGGCTGCAGAGAACTGACGGGTTTAATGCCATTATCAAGGGGATCAAGTAAGTGATGTTTAAATATAAATTTTTCATTTCTAGGAAATTAGACTTTTTAAGTTTTTTTACTTTTTCATTGGGTAAGTGTACTTTTCACTTCCTGATACAATGGGAACCCATAAAACTGTGGAACAGAAAGACGACTGTTGGGACTCAATTTACAATATAACTTATATAGTGTGTACAGAACCATTAAACTTCTAAAGTTAGGTTGAGCTAAGATTCTGTTAATCCAGCGGCATACGTCCCTGGTTGGTTTAAAATGATAAAATCGCAATCCATTTTATGTGTCCGCATTCATAAATCGTGAACACTTCAGTTATCTCGATTACTTTCAGAGATTTCAACAAAGGGAAACTGGATCATAGAGACATGAACGTGTACGAGCAGGTTTACCTGCGAGGTATAGCAACTAAGCAGAACGGATATGCATTCCTGCTTCACGTCAAATCTATGCGGAAAGTTAAGGTACTATCAATTTTTTTCTAAAAAGTTTGTTAAATGTTTAAAATTTGATGTGTGTCGATTTTGTAGATATTAAGATTAGGTTCTTTTTATTTAAACACAGTTACAGGTGGAATAGGAAGACGACAATAAAGTATTTAAAAGTGTCCTTGATTTTGGTACAAAGCAAGTGGTTTTATTTGTTTTTATTAACTCACCTATTGCAAAAGTGATGTGTTACATATTTATTGGACTAATTAAAGTCTTTACGTGGTTTTTCTATTCCAGAGTTTTCTGGTACTCACTTAGGTGCCAATATTTAAATGGTTAAACTTCTTTATCTCAATTTATCTCATGTCTCATCCTGTAATTAAATACAAGTGTAGGACCTGACTAAAACTAAGTTTCTGTTGACCGGAAACCTGCTCTGCCTCTCAATAGAGGGAGATTTCTCAGATGCCATCTGGGCAAAGGTAGATTTTATTATTTTTTAACATTTATCAGAAGATATTGTCATGTTCCCTTGCTTGTCTTTTTTCTGCTACATTACTAGATTAATTCATTTGTAATTTGTATTTATTCATTTACAATTGTTTGCTAATAATAAGCATTGTGCATTGAATCATCTAACTTTTAATTTGAACTAAGATTCTACTTAAAACATTGCCCTTATATCTTTAAAACCATTACTTTAGGGAATTTAAGTTAATGTTTTTTTGGTTGTCCCTCATTAATCATTTTGAACACTTAAAGGGAGTGTTCGCGAATAATACCCCCTTTCATTTTTCGCGAACACTCCCTTTAATTCATTTTGAAGTAAGTCTGTAAATACATATTTGTTAAAACAAATTTGAAATATAAGGAAAACGACTCTATGTGGTTTGTATATTACGGTGGCTGCCGCTGTATGTTTCCAGATATATAAATCTTTTTTCCGGGGGTTTGCACACATTGAGCCCACGTTCCTCCTCCTCCCCCCCCCCTCTCCACCTATTCTATTCTATTTTAAACAGGCAATTTTAGTCCCACTGGAAAAAAACTATTTTAAAACATTTCGTAATTTAAACAATTCAATAAATGATTTCTTTTATTTTATTAAGCTGACTGTTAAGTCAACAATATTACAAATTACCATCAATTTTTCTCCGTCTTGTCAGGTTTTCAATAGAGATGACAAGCTTCTGAAGGATGGTCTCATATTTGTTGATATTCTCCCCGGGCTCAACAAGAAGTCAACCTCCGACATCCTACTGGACATCCTCCAAAACAATGGAAGGTCAGGGACTGGGTTTAATTGATCGGAGAGGTTGCTGAACTACCAACCGCCGGTTCAAAACCTGAATTTTCCGATTCAAATCCTACTAATCTTTGATCCAAATTTGGCGGTAGATAGTTCAGCGACGTACATAACATGACAGTAGCAAGACTTGAAGGTGTTCTTTGATCTTTGAAATAATTTGCGGCAATTATTCATAACAAACCTAATTTTAGAAATATTATTCTAAAGAACATGATTACATAACAAGCCCAGTCCTGGGATTTCCAAAATGTGGTCTGTCAAGTTTCGTGGGACACCCAGTAGTTCAAATTCATAAAATAGGCATAATAATAATCTTGATGTACATTTACTTCTTAGTGATATATTAAGCATACTTAAACTAACCCTTTTATCAAAAGTGTTAAGTGTCCTCTTTTCTTTTGAATTTTAAAAAAAAATCAATATTGGCCGCTTTAGGAATCTTCTTTGAGAAAGAAATCCATGGGTCTTTTTTTAAAGCGCCAAAAATGAAAAAACGATTTCTACAAATTCCTCAAAAAACAGATTTGTTTATTCTATTGAAAACACAGCTGCAATGCAAACTTGAAACATTAGAGATTTTTTTCTCCAGTTAAGCTGTTTAAAAACTAATAAACACCCCTAACAACCGAAATCTGTTATGGAATGGAGGGGGAAATGATTCACTTTTTTGAAACATAATAATAAAAATTAATTTTTATGAACGGCAATTTTCTCTTCTATTAAGTTCTTATAGACATGATTTAAGTTAAACGTTATCTTAAACAAAAAATTCATTTTAACTAGGCTTCCAGGAAGCGTCGCGCCCATGTACGATATTTTTTTGTGGATTTGGAAAAATAGAATTTTTTAAGACGCTAATTTTATAATTCTTACCAGTTACCATCTATAGGCCTTCCCTTGGGTCATTGTGAATCCTGAAGAAAATTTGGACCAGATCAGTTCTACGGTTTTGACGTATTGGTTACAAACAAACATTATATACACAATGTACATTGTACATTACTAGGTTTTCAGAGCGCTTCGCTCCCACCTTAGATTTTAACCTTCATTTGTTTTTTTTATCATTTTTTTGGCGTGGATTTTAATAAATCCGATTCATTTGCAGAAAAAATTTGTTTATTCTAATCATCCTTAAACCTTCCCTGGGGCCGTTTATTGGTTACATACAAACAGACAAGCAAAGTATATGTATACATCTTTTTAACCTTTACATTTTGACACCAAAACATACATATATATGCTCTAATAATAGACTGTGACTACTATGTGTTCTTAGTAGAATATTTTAGGATAATTATGGTTGAATCTCCTAACTTCTACAAAGCATATGGCCCAGTACTAGCTGCTTTACAGTCCTATAACATGAAAGATCTGCCAATAAAGGATACTGTTGTTAGGTAAAATAAAATTGATATTAATTAATTAATTAATATTAATATTGATATTGATTAACTAATAATATTACACATATGAATATTTAACTATATATGATAATGCAATACAACTAATTGCACATCTAAGTTCATAAGTATCATTCAGTTCGGTACTAATGGGCATGTTTTATTCAAAATGACCCTGGCAATGATGGCAATGTCCGATTTAAAATTCGGTGATGGTGATGGACCAAACATATGTCGAGAAAAAAAACTAGATGTTAGTTTCACATTGATCCTTGTCAGTTCTAATGATATAATAACCATCAAAATCGATGTTAAAAAACCACAAGAAAATATACAAATAAAAAGATTTTTTTAAAAAATTTTAAATGGGTTGTCAAATGGACAAAAGGGAAACGAACTCATATCATGAAATGGAAAAAAAGATAATTTGCAAATTTACTTTTTGGAAGAATGTTTTAAGAAAAATATTATTCCTTGTTTCTGTCATGAAGATAAAAACAAACTGTTTAGTTTATGTATATTGTTTAAAGTGGTGGTCGATCTAATTAACGAATTTTTACGAAAATCAGGGGGGGGAGCTTGTTTAATGTTTAAGGCTGTATGTATAAAATGTCTTTTTTTCGACTACGAAATGTGCACCCTTCAGAAGGTGGGTGGTGAGGATAGTAAAGGACGGAGAGTGTTATGAATGCCAGGAACAAGCTTAAAACAATTGATTTAATTTGAATCTATACCCGGCCATATTGTATACCATGCACAAAGAATAATCAAAGAGTGGGGATGGGGTCTCTTTAAAACTGAAGGTAGTTGGGGTAGTGAGGGTAGTTTCTATACAGATTCAGATTCAAGGGTGGGGGTGGGGTCTCTCTAAAAACAGATGGTATTTGGGGTAGTAAGGGTAGTTGCCATTTAGATTCAGTCTGTTTTTAGAGAGACCCCACCTCCAACCTGGATCTGGAATTCTTGTTTAGATGCGTTTATCCCTGAGATTAGGAGGTCTCCTATAGGTAACCATAGGGGGATTTTTAAAAAAAAACTCTTTAATCCAAGGATCCTGGACCATGGCTCTCCAATGTTTCCATATGAATGAGGAGATACAAGGCAGTTGAGGCTTAAATGAGATAGAGATTATCACTCGACCTGGTCTCTCTTTTTTCTCCACATTCTTTAAGCAACTTCTCTAGTATAGCTTTAGCTCGGACTATAGCAGAGTCGACAATTGAAGAATTGTAATCACTGCTCAGAAGAAAATTCGTACAATTCTGTATGCAAGTGAATAAGGTATGTTGTTAGAAATATGTGCTGGGTGGCGAGATGATACATACATCTATCTGTGGGTTTTCTGTAGAGATCTGTTGTAATTTTTCCATCTTCAATGTACAGTTTTTGTCATTTTTGTTCTGTGGCACCAACAGTCATGTTCATCCTTCAAACTACAAAAAATGGAGAACTATGATCTAGAGTAAACTTGATTGTAGGATGAATTTTATTGATATCATCCAGGAATTGATATAATTTATCAATAGAATCTGTCCAGATTCCAAAACGATCATCCTGATCTTTTCAGATCATTAGTTATTTTGTATGTATTTGGAAGTTTCACAATCTGATCATCAGCTTAGCCATAATAATATTTGCATAGGAAGGGGCTGGATGTATTCTCATTGCTGTTCCTATCAATTGTTTGTAAAGTATTCAGAAATGTTCTTTTTCAAACAAATGTTTAGCAGCTCAATCAAAAATGACTAAGGTAGATTTATCAGTTCTGGTTTCAAGAGCTTCTTTACAGAATTCTAGGCCATTATCTAAGATATAAAGAATAGAAAAGAGTTGGCTGGTAAATCATCTTTGTTGATTTTTTCAATGCATCTAAAAAAATCTGGAGTATCCTGAAGATAAGATGGGTTTAACTTCCTGAACCGCTGATGATAGGCCTACTTGGTGGAGTATCTCCTGGAATGTGAGTTTTATTTACTTTAAACAGCTGTTAAAACTTTGCTGGATTCTTACCATCAGCCAGCATAGCTTCAAGTTCTTCAGTTGTGATGAAGTTCTTATCAGCTGCAGTATCTAAAACAGACTTTATCTGTTTCTTTAACTTCCTTCTCTTCAACTTGTAATTAGAACGGATTTAGTGTTCCATTCTCATTACAATGGTATTCGGGGGGGAAACCTTAATCTGATCAATAATGTGGAAAATATTGTCGTTTGAAAAGTTTTTAATTCATTAATTCTGCACGTTTTCCTGCAGAAATGCGCAAGACAAAATTGAAAATAAACAGTTTTCAAAATTATAAACATTGATAACTAATTCATACCTCATCAGACAAAGCTTTTAAGGGTATCGTTGTGAATTGAGAAATCTTTGCAAAGTCACTTGAATTACGCTTACAATTTCTTAAAACCATTGTTTCTATTTTAGATGTGAGAACAGTGGTCCTCCATTAAACCTGGAGTCTAACAGAATAATACTTGATCCGTTTATTGAACCTGACTCTGATCTCACATCTGGAGAACCATCAGTTTCTCCGGACGATCTTAAATTTGTCAATACGTCATCAGATTCTTCACAACCCGCAGTCGCTTCAACAGTAAGGCCTAGAAATAGGATAAATCCGCCAGCCAAACCTATTTCTTCATTACCGAAGTTAAAGCGCTCAAATATTCCATTTATCTCATCAAACAACCTCAAGCTCGAGGTATATAATTTTATTTAATCTGAAGAAATTGAGTTTTCGACACAAACTAAAGTTTTCTGATCCCTTTATCTTTGCAATCATCTGTGCAAACCCTTTATGTTTCAATCTGCGATTATTTGATCTAACAGAATTCATAGTTTAAAATATCTGAATTGCCAAAGATAATCAGTAAATGTCCGAACTTTTTTTCCTAGATGTTCGATATGTTTTTTAGGGTTTTATTTTTTTTGTGTCCTTTTTAAGTTTCCCGAATTATAAGGACTCATAAGCGTCATTTCAAGGGACCCTTCATGTCCGATTTACATCGGAATATTTAACACCTTCAACTGATCAATGTTGTGGGACTTATTTTACAAAAGCGCTTTTAATTGTTAAACACTTTTTATTTACTTTCTAGAAAGGAATTGAGTCTTTGCCACAAACTCTTATTTTCTAATCACTATATCTTTGAAACCAAATGTTGCATACCTTAGATATTTCAAACTATGAATTCTGTTAGATCAAATAATCTGAGTTTGAAATATCAAAGGTTTACAACATCGAGTTCTAAAGATATTGAGGTTTAAATATTTGATTTTGTTCCAAAGACTCAATTCCTTTGCAGAAAATATATTTTTTCTTTCGAATTTTCGGAAACCTCTTTTAGTGTACTGCAATATTAGGTAGTGTCCAACTACACAAGCAGCGCATCATCTATGTTAAGATTATACTTTACACAATGTACACCGCGTTTTAGAGGGACCAAAGAGTGGTTTTCAAGATAATTAAACAAAGAGATCTCTTTACTGGATGAACAGTCAAAGGTGCAAAGGGTACCGTTGTAAATCGGGGTTTTCTCTCTTTGCTTGGTGGGTCATTTGAAATTGTGCTTACCGTCCCTTTATCTGTGGAAACTTAAAACGCACACTACGTAGAATAAAATCTCTATGTGAGATTCACTAGCAATTTGCTATTACGAGACATATTTTTAATATAGTATAGTTTCATTGTAATTTTGACTTTCTTATTCGACTTTTGTTCTTCTGCAGTCCTTACCTTTTTGTTTGCTAAGGAATTAAGTCTTTGTCACGAACTCTGATTTTCTCATCGGTATATCTTTGCAACCCAATTTCGTAGACCTTAGATATTTCATACAATAAATTATCAGTTAGAAATATCAACGGTTTACATCATTAGGTTGCACAGATATAGAATTTCAAAGTTTGAGTGTGTGGCAAAGACTCAATTGTAAAATGTAAAAGATTTATTAAAATATTTGAAATTTGATTCTTAAGACCGAATTACAGTAGCCCGGACTTTTTTTTAAGGGACACTAAATGAATTCGAGTGGAATTATTTTTATTACTTGAGATTTTTATATGTTTAAGGAACTCCGAGAAAAGAAGGAAACTGAAAGAGTGCAAATCGAATATCGAGTAAAAGAACGAGAAACTATAAATCATGTTCCTGTGCAAGCTGAAATGGTTTCTGTTGATGCATTTCTGGATATCCTTGAAGCAGACAATAAGCTGGATCCGTCTCAAACTAAGGTACAAACATAATATTCCTGGATATCCTTGAAGCAGACAATAAGCTGGATATGTCTGAAACTAAGGTACAAACATAATTTTACTGGATATCCTTGAAGCAGACAATAAGCTGGATCCGTCTCAAACTAAGGTACAAACATAATATTCCTAGATATCCTTGAAGCAGCTATTAAGCTGGATCCTTCTCAAACTAAGGTACAAACATAACATTCCTAGATATCCTTGAAGCATACAATAAGTTGGATAATTGGATATGTCTCAAACTAAGGTACAAACAATATTTCTGGATATCCTTGAAGCAGCAATTAAGCTGGATCCTTCTCAAACTAAGGTACAAACATATTATTCCTAGATTTCCTTGAAGCAGACATTAAGCTGGATTCGTCTCAAACTAAGTTACAAACATAACATTCCTAGATATTCTTGAAGCAGACAATAAGCTGGATCCGTCTCAAACTAAGGTACAAACATAATATTCCTGGATATCCTTGAAGCAGACAGTAAGCTGGATTCATCTCAAACTAAGGTACAAATATAATATTCCTAGATATCCTTGAATTAAGTTTCAAATATAAAATTCTTTCTCGGTTAAGTATTATTTAATAGTTATTAATGAGAGACATGAGATATATGAAGTTGATTTAAAGAGATATTTATTTCTAAATATAAAACTTTCTCAGTTAAGTAGTAATTAATAGTTATTAATAAGAGATATGCAGTTGTAATGAGAGATGATGTTTTAATGAGATATATGAAATTTTGAGAGATAGATAACGTTTCGGAGAACTAAGATTAAGTATATATAAAGCTATATGACGGTCTCCAAGAAGGTGTTGTTCTAGGCGCTGCAGCATGTTCTGAAGAACCGGGTGAGTATCATCCAGGGTCCTCCCGGAGCGGGGAAAACTTTCATAGGAACCAAGATACTAGAGATACTGCTCCGACTTGAGAAACCATCAACCCGACCCATCCTGGTAATCACGTATAAGAATCATGCCCTAGATGAATTCCTAGGTGATCTCCTGGACACTCATGCAGTGTCTAAATGGAATATGGTGAGGTAAGTTACCCCACACATTGATCTCTCCCCCCCCCCCTCCTTTAAGAAAAATACTTTTTGAAGACTGAAAAAATACTGGCAAAATGCCTCCTTTTTCGTTAAAAATTTATTAGTTTTCCCCTTAAATAGATTTTTTTAACTCGCCGTTAAAATTACCTGAAAATATTTATTAAAAGGGAGTGACCGGCAGTGTATAGTAGTTGAGCTGAGAATGTAGTGTTGTGAAGAAATTTTTTAGACATATAAAACTTTTAATGATGTATAATTACTGAGTTTAAGCGCAAAGTTGACATTCAAAATCATCCATTTGGTTGGTTACGTTTTGAGAATCGACTTTTTTTTTAAATTATTAAATAACGACGACAAAATATGTTTATAAAATTTTACAGTAAACTAATTAGATGTTTAGGAACACATTTCTCGATAGAAATTTTTTAATAAATCACTGTTAGAATCAATTATTCCTTTTTCATCATTTTATTGAATTTCTTATTCTTTACAAATTTGTTTGCAGATATCTACAAATTCTCCAAATGTCGTCTCTCAATAAAAATTCCAAAAAATCTACAGAAAATGATTGTGTACAATGAGAGATTACAGAAACTAATAACTGAATAAGAGTTCATTTTATTTTCTCAACCTGTTCCTAAACAACTAATATGTTTACTGATTTTTGTTTCATTTTTTGCCGTCATTCCTATTTCCCTCCCTTCATACCTCATTTTCTCCTAGCAAATTATCTTTCCATTTCTTACATTTTTTGTGATGAATTTTTTATTTCAAATGTGTATTTGAGTAAAGGGCCTATTATTGAAATAGCTTTTATCGGCTAGATGGGTCCTGAATAATGAATTGTATGTAAGTAAATGTTAATCATTAATCTAAAAAAAATTTTAAAATAATAAAAAATATTGGACGTGTGGAAGACGATATTTCCACATCTTGAAACCTCTATAGACTATTTATTAAAAGTTTAAAACCCCGCGAACAACTCTAAGCTGTTATCTAGGATCGGTGGTAAATGTTCAGATCTTCGGCTGGAGGATTGTCGGCTGTATAATGTATTACGAAGAAAGGAATATTTCATCAACGAAATGAACGATCAGATCACTCATCTTAATGAAAGGCTGCATGAAGAAATATCCAGGTACAGTCGACAGTTACAACCCTAAAAACGTACAAAGTCGTCTTTATTACACCATATAATTATAAATCGTCGTAAATATTTACAAATTTTAAAATCTTTAGATAAAGGGTTATTCACAACGAATGAGACTTAATGGACCTACAAGTCTTAAAGTTTGTCGATCTGCATTGATTTGCCTAGCTTGAATGTGCTTTTGTGCCTAGAAAAAAGTCCTTAAGTAGAATACTTAACGATTTAGCATAGAGAAAACGATTTAGCATATAGAAAACGATTAAGCATAGAGAACACGATTAAGCATAGAGAAAACGATTTAGCATAGTTAACGATATAGCATAGAGAAAACGATTTAGCATAGAGAAAACGATTTAGCATAGAGAAAATGATTTAGCATAGAGAAAACGATTTAGCATAGTAAACGATATAGCATAGAGAAAACGATTTAGCATAGTAAACGATATAGCATAGAGAAAACGATTTAGCACAGTAAACGATATAGCATAGAGAAAAAAGAAGTTTTCAGTTATTCAGCAAGACAGATAGTCGAGATGTAAGGAGCAAGATTTAAAAAAAACATACTTTTCTTTTAAATCTCATCCATTGTGTATAATACTGTTTTTTATAATCAAAGACTGGGAAACTCACACAATTGTAGGATAACTTCTGAATGAACAGTCTAAAAATGCTTAAATTGTGAAATCCGTGCTTATCTTTGTTTGAAATCATCAGTAAAGAATACTGGATCCAACTAAAAATAGTAGAAATATATCTAGTTCTGTTATTGTCCTAGGAGTCGACATTTTGAACTAAATACGATGAAGATGACTTTCGATTTAGATTTTTCTATAATGACCCATACATTATAAAATAATTTTCCTCAATTGTGAATCGGTCATGTAAGTCTTTAAAGAAGGGTCATCGAAATACAGCTAACAATCCCTTTAATTAGGTTTCCTGTCGGGTTGACGTTGGCTGATATAGTGTTTTATATGTCTGATATAGATATATATAATATACTGACTGATACAAATACTAACGATGATATGATCCGTATCATACAGAGGAATATATGGCAGACTGGAGCAACTATGCAGGATATGATTTTAGGTAAACATATTAATACAGGGTTATTCATCAAGCATGATATTTTAAATTAAATATTACGATTGAAAGGTTCTTCAATATTAATCTTGTGACAGTTGACAGAGTATGTAGAGTCATTTTTAAATGTCATTCTCTATCTAGCCATCTCTCTTGTCCCACAAAACATGACAGTAGCAAGACGACTGATTTGAAAGTCGGGTTTGATCTTAAAAATAATTTGCGACAATTATTCGTTATCTTAATTTTAGAAGTAGGATTCTAGAATTAATTATCACAAAGTACCCCTAGAGGTGGTGTTTTCAAAATGTGGTCCGCCTTTTATTTACTATCAATACTATCGGAGGTATGAAGAATTTCCTGAAGATTTCGACAATTTTGGTTTTATTTATAAATTTGAAATCTGGACGAAATTCTTAATGTCCCCCCGGTAAATATTGACAGCACAAAGAAGGCAGACCATCTTATGGAAATGCCAGGACTAGGATAATTTGGTGGTTATAGTTTCAAGAATCATTAATATTCATGTCGTCTTGCTACTATCATGCTTCGTAGGACACCCTGTATATCCGGCCCATTTAATTTTAATTTACCTTAAATTATGTCTTCTCATCTTTTTGAGAATTTCTTCACTTTTCGAGCATAACTTCAACATAAATAAAAATCCATGTCATTTTGGTAAACATAAGTTTCGCAAATTTCTTTTATCAAAAATAAATTTCCAAGAATTTTTTTCTTTTCATTAATAACTGTAATTATGATGCACCCCCAATCCATCATAAAATATGTCTGAATTTATATTTCATGATCAGAGGGGTCTTTTTAAAGGGTCTGTAATTGTAAACGTAATTTCAATCGACTCTCTATTTATAGATGGCATTTCCGATTTTCAACGGTACCCTTGAAAGCTTGTCCAAGAATGAATTAAATATCAATGTTTATAGTTTCAATTGTGGTTTCTATACAAAAGTGACTTGCACATTGCACATTTCTACTGCAGGAAAACAATTTAGGAAGTATTAGAATGTCCCTTTTTTAGATTGCATAAAATGTTAATTTTTGTTTTAAAGAAAATTCTTCGGACAAGAAGCTATCGAAGGAGTGGAGAAAAATCAAAAAGAAATTCCGGAATTGGATTCCATCGAACATAGATTTCAGGTTAACTTATTATGAAGATTTTTATTTTTATTTTTATAATTATTAAAATTGAATTTGTTGTGTTCAGTCGGTTTGCGAACAGTATTGGGAAGATGAAGCAGAGTCTGACTAAGATTCAGTTGATCAGGGAAACACAGAAGAACATTGAGGAGAATAATGTTGAGCAGCAGGATCAAACTGAAGTGAAAGAGTGGGATAATGAGAGAAAACACTATTCAGATGATTCTGGACGTGGAGGTCCAGCCGGAGATTTTTACATGGACATAACTGAAATCCGCCAGACTGGATTTATCTGTAAACTTGATGCTTTCCCAGATACATGCCCTTTAGATAAAGATCTTCTGTCTGGGGAGATACCTGTAGAGTACATGTTGACAGATGAGAAGATAAAATACCTGTATGCTGTACTGTGTCAGCGCCAAGAGCCAGGATGGATGAATCTGGAAGCACTATATGAAAAACTAGATGAAGCACAAAAAAAGAAAGAAAGCCTTGAAATGGCAAACAAAGCGGAATCACTGAGTGACATGAAGGTCATAGCTATGACAATTACAGGAGCTTCTATAAATAACTCCTTGCTGAAGATGATTGATCCTGAAATAGTGATGGTTGAAGAAGCAGCTGAGATACTGGAACCCCAGCTTCTGGTTGCTCTGACAACTAGACTCAAACATCTTATTATGATTGGAGACCATAACCAGTTACCCCCTCAGGTAGAACAGTTTAATTCTTTTTAAATAATTATCAAAAAACTCATTAGAGTTCATTTTACACGTATTTTGTATTGAATGGACTGGAAGAGTAATTTCAAGTGACCCTGCATGCAAAGATGTCAATGCCTAATTTACAATGGTATCCTTAAAACCTTTGAGGTTGTCAGACTTTTTAACAATAATATACAAAACGCTTTTAATTGTTGAACACTTGCAAGCTTTTTTAAGTTTGAAAAATATCAATATTCATTTTCTACAAATTAACAGAAAAGGGACCCAACTAACGAATCAACTTAAGTGAGTTCACAGTGTACGCAGTGTACACTCTGTTTGAGTTTTAAAGATATTCAAACACAGAACTCTCTTCACTCAATGAACACTGAACGGTCCAAGGTTTAAGGGGTACAGTTGTAAACCGAACATTGCCCTTTTAGTTTCGAGGATCACTTGACATCATGCTTACAGTCCCTTTAAGATAAGGTTTATTGAATAGTTTATCCTAGGTTGAAACATACGAGCTGAAGAACAAATTCAACTTTGATGTGTCCATGATGCAGAGGCTGGTGCAGAACAACCTACCCTACATCCAGCTAGAGATGCAAAACAGGATGCGCCCTGATATCGCGGAACTGCTGAAGGATATTTATCCTAATCTTCTTAGTAATCATGGCAGAGTAGACTCTATTGAGCTTCCCGTAACTCTTACGCATTCATCAATATTCTGGACACACAAACAGGAGGAAAAGGGGGATAGAAGTGCCAATAATCCTACGGAAGCTGAGATGGCACTGAGTCTTGCAACTCTTCTGGTTACCTACGGAGCTGAACCAAAGGACATAACTATTCTCTGCGCTTATCTGGGTCAAGCAAGTCTGGTAAAAATTCGAATGAAGAGTTATCTCACTGAATACAAGGTTCTCAACAATACACCCTTCATCATTTCTACTGTGGACAACTATCAGGGAGATGAAAACAAGATTGTTATTGTTTCTCTTGTTCGCGGGAATCCCAAAGGAACAGTTGGTTTTCTTAGAGATCGTCCTAGAAGATGTGTAGCTCAGTCCAGAGCCAAGTCATGTGTTATCTTCATAGGAAATGAGTTGACTATAAGGAAAGCTGAATGTTGGGATGTATTGATGGACAAGGTCCAACATCTAGGACCTCAGGTTTATATATCCTGTCCTCTCCACCCTGTAAACCAGCTGAGTTTGGACAGTGTAAAGAAGATACAAAATCTTCTTGAAACCCCATCAGAACTCTGTACTGTTCTTTGTGGGAATCTGCATCTATGCTTGAACAAGGATCATGCGTGCAAACTTCCATGTCAACCAAGGCATGAACACACCAAGTGCCGGACCAAGGTGGGCTATGTATGTCCGGACTGTGGCAGGGATGTTACCAAATGCTGCTATGACAAAAATCCTAAATGCAAGGAAGTTATAGACTTTGTATATCCAAGATGTGGTCACCCTGATAAAAGGTATACACTAAAACTAAAATGACTTTCGATGTAATTTCAAGGTTTATAGTTTGCATTTAAATTGTTACACTCCCCATTCACAATGATAACATAACAACCCGTCAGTCCTAGCTAAAATGATTGAGATATCATTGTTTTTCTCTTAATATTGTTAATTTGAGTTTGTATATTTGTAATGAATGGTCTCTTGAAATTTTAAGCTTATTACATGAGCAAGGAATTTTTAAACAACAAATTATTGGACTTACTTAAATAGTTTTCTTTATTTAGGGCTTGCTATAGAGGAGTAGAAGAAGAGGAAAGACTCGAGTGTAAACTTCCCTGTGTTGAGACTATGAGCTGTGGAAAACACAACTGTATTGAACAATGTGGTGCAATTCATTCTCATGATAAATGCAGTAAGATGGTCGATACACAGTTTAGCTGTGGACATGCTGGGAAGAAGAAGTGTTACAAGAACGATTCAGAAGTGAAGTGCATGAAGGATATACTGAAACAGTTCCCATCCTGTTCACACAGTGTCAAGGTTTATTGCAGTGCATCGATGAAAGAAATCAAGTGTAATACAGAGGTAAAGTTTATCTCTCAGTGCGGACACACAAATGTGAAGAGGTGTTATCAAAGTGATCTTGACGTAAAGTGCAAGAAAGACTGCAATAAGATTCTGCTTTGTAACCATAAATGTGAAGGAAGTTGTGGAGAGGATGTCTGTGGTTCTTGTAAAAGATGTGAAGAGCTGGCTGAACAACAAATAGAGAAATCCAGAGAGCATGCACGGAGAGAAGTAAAGAAAACTGAAAAATTTTTAGAATTACGAAACAATACCAAACCTACAAGTCAGATTGTAGAGCCTCTTCATGACGAGTTTGATGGAATCAAAGATTTTACTCTGAAGTACATTGTTCCTCTTCATAATTGGTTTCCCATAATAGAGAAAGTAGAACGAGTTGAAAACCTTCCTCTACAGAAAGCCTGGTGGAAGGCTAAGAGTGAATTGTTTGATCCTGTCAGAGATTGGAGTTATAAGTTCCATGGAACTGATAATAACGCAATTCAAAATATCTGCTTTGGTAGCGGGTTTAGACTGCCGGAGCAATCTAACCGGAATATGTTTGGTCAGGGAGTATATTTTGCCAGTAATTCATCCAAGTCTGCTCAGGAAATATATACTAAGAGTAGTAACAAGCTGTTGGTGTGTAAGGTGCTGCTAGGAAAATCTCTAGCTGCTACTACGGCCATGAACTACTTAACTCCAGAAAAGATGAAGGAGAAGGGATATGACTCTCTGTATGCTGCAGTTGGAACGTGTGCGCTGAAGAATGATGAGTTTATTATATATGATCCAGCTCTAGCTCTCCCTGCCTACATAGTTCACTACAGAAATAGCTCTCCAGGAGAAAATTCTTCTCTTCCGATATTTAAATCCATCCCACCCCAGCAGATATTCAAGATTTCAACTGTATTCCCCAAGAAAGCCTACAATGACAAGAATCCATACGAGATACAATACCTGCTCGCAGAAACTGTGTTCTACAGAATACCTTTAACTAGCAGTTACACAAAACCGAATATACGGTGTATAGATATTGTGATGAACCCAACTCTCAATGCCAAGTTTGACAGTATGAAGAGAGTGTTGATGTGCGAGGAGACCCAGTTGTTCTACATGTTTAAGTTAGATGATCTCCAGGATGTGTTGAAGACCAACTTTAACACCACACATCTGAAGACACTGGTTGGAGAAAAAGGATTGTATTTTGCAGATCGTCCTGAAGCCAGTGATCAGTATAAACCTGGATGCAAATCTGTTCTACTGTGCAAAGTTCTGCGAGCTGGTTTGAAGGTAACGAAAAAAAAATTTTTCAGTGGTGTATTTTTTCTCCAAAAAAAATTCCCCCTTTTAGAATATTTTTATTTTTCACCAGAGTTAGGTATGTTTGTGCGGGTTATATCACTGAATTACGGAACATTAATGATATATATATATATATATACGTATATATAGTCCAGAGCCAAGTCATGTGTTANTTGTACTCAATATTCTACCATTCTTCGTAATCAACTTTACCGGGACCCTGTAGTGTAAACCTATCTCATATATTGTACTCAATATTCTACCATTCTTCGTAATCAACTTTACCGGGACCCTGTAGTGTAAACCTATCTCATATATTGTACTCAATATTCTACCATTCTTCGTAATCAACTTTACCGGGACCCTGTAGTGTAAACCTATCTCATATATTGTACTCAATATTCTACCATTCTTCTTAATCAACTTTACCAGGGTTTTTAGTGCACACTGCACAGTGTACACCTCCCATTTATTGCACGCTATATATTTTCCATATTGTTTAATGTAAATTATGCATGAAAATCCCATATTTGTGTTCCTCTAGTGCAAAATTTCCCCATATATTGTACTGCACGCTATATTTTTAATATTGTTAACTACAAACCATGCTAGGATGAAAATCCCAGGGTTATTTTAGTGGAAACCCGTCCTTTAATAATCGAGACATACTTTAAAAACCTTTTAACAAAAACTGTGTTACTAGAAAATTTACTTCTACAAAATGTATATGTTTCTATTTTTTCACATTTATATAAAACGTTGAAAATGTCGTCTTCTAAAGTTAAATAGAATTATTTTTTAAACTAATTATTTTTACCAAGTTTAACTGACTTGAACGGGTAAAACATCAAGTATAATTTTTACTAACTTTACCAATGCTTGGACAATAATCTTTCCAGTGCAGTGTAAAGAAGTTGACTGGTGTTTTGAAAGTTTATATTATTTCTAAACTACATTGTGATTGTTTGTTGTTAGAAGATACAATAAAATGTGAAATTATTTTTTTTAACCTTTTTGTAAATTGTTTTCTCCCAGTTAAGTAACACCAAAAAACATTACGTAAGTAATAAAGTTGAGAACATGAATTTAGTCAAATGCATTTTTCAAGTCTAAATGACATTAATATTCGCATTAATTTCTATTCTTCTGAATTAACTGGGTCCAACCTCCCACCTCCTCTATAAACTCAGGTTCAACACACAAAAGAGTTAATCTTGAGTCCTTGAGGGGAGCAATTCTTCTTCTCAATCTTGGAACAAAACCATCCAGAACCAGGACCAGTTGGCGGAGCTCCATAATGTCTCTACAGGACTGCACGCAGTCAAGGGAACATAATATTAGGGAATATTTTATGTTTGTTACTTCTTTGTTACTGCAACGCAATTGCTAAGTATATTAATATGCCATATTGGTAGCGATGGTCATTTCTAAGTGGTCCTTTTAAAACATTTTAGGGTTTTTTTTACTTCTAAAGGGATTTAGACATAATTTTAAGTGATTCTCAATTGTTAGTGATATGTCTGATTTGCAACAATACCCTTTCAACCTGTCTGAGCTGAACTGATTGAGTTATTTTCCTGTTGAATATGGATTACTTTACATTGTTGGTTCAAGCAAAAATGTAATTTTATGGAATTAAACACTTTCAGAGAAATAGGATGATATCTCTTACCCTATTGGTGCTCAGATAAAGGTTCAAGGGTTGCCACTCTATGAATTGAGGGTCACTTTCAATCAAATCAAGAGCCTCCACATTACTCTAAGATGCAGAACTTTCAGCAAACTGGATCATTTAGAGAATTTAAAAAACAAACGAATATCAATTCTCTATAAGAATATAATTAATTTAATGCATAATTTTAGATTGAACTAATTAATCGATATTTAAGAAGAAACCCATATTAGTAATAATTGTTTTTGCATAATATACAGGGTGTCCCACGAAACATGACAGATGTTAAATAGTTTTGAATGTCTTCTTCCATTAACTGTATTAGATATCAAACCACTTGTTGAAGTTGATTTTGTTTAAAAATCTTTTACTCAAATATATTTTACTTTGAAATCAATTTTAATATAATATGACTGCCATTTAATATGCTTATTGTTCTGTTTGATATCAAACTATAACCTAACAAATTATGGAAGAAGACATTTTATACTATTCACCTATTGTCATGTTTCGTGGGACACCCTGTATATACACTACAGTTGGTACTGTACACTGCAGTACAGTGTATTGGTACTGTAAACGTAGTTTTAAGTGAGCCTCAGTTTGAATATTGGTATGTACAATTCACAACGGTATTGGTGTGTACGATTCACAACGGTATTGGTATGTACGATTCACAACGGTATTGGTGTGTACAATTCACAACGGAATTGGTATGTACAATTCACAACGGTATTGGTATGTACAACTCACAATAGTATTGGTATGTACAATTCACAACGGTATTGGTATGTACAATTCACAACGGTATTGGTATGTACAATTCACAATAGTATTGGTTTGTACAATTCACAACCGTATTGGTATGTACAATTCACAACGGTATTGGTATGTACAATTCACAACGGTATTAGTATGTACAATTCACAATAGTATTGGTATGTACAATTCACAAAGGTATTGGTATGTACAATTCACAACGGTATTAGTATGTACAATTCACAAAGGTATTAGTATGTACAATTCACAACGGTATTCTTAAAGCCTCTATCTCAGTAAAAATAAGAATATTCTGATCTGGTTTTTAACTTGGAAAGTCTTAAATTCTGACAATTTCAAATAGTATGTGCAGCATAAATTCACAAATCACTTAGAGAGAAACCACTGGTAAAACTAAGGATATCTCATTTATCCTTGAAAGGAAAAAGGTACGTTTATAGGATACCACTGTGAGTCTAAAATGCAACTCTGAATATGGAGGGTTGCTTTAAAGTCTGTTTTTTTCTAGTAGTCTACAAATTATGGGCATCTCACAAAAAAAAACATGTTTTTTACATTTTTACATTTAGATATTTTCTTATTACATATTATGTAAAAAGAAAATAGTATGTAATACATGTTATGTAACAAGAAAATAGTATGTAATACATGTTATGTAACAAGAAAATAGTATGTAATATTTGAATAGCTTAACAGGGTAAGAATGAAAAGAAGTTTAAGATGTTAGGACTTTCAAGATTCCATGTTGATGTTGATGCACGGTTTAAATATCATTGTGTTCAATTTATGGTGAAAAACATTTAGACAAATTTCTTGTTGGTCTTAATTGAGACTTATGCTTCCAATTTTTAAAATCTTTTTTTAAGATTCTATATTCAAAATTTTGCATTGTCCCAGCTAAGCCGGTATACCATGTACTGTATACGCATTTACGCGTACTGTCCAGTCTGGAGCCTATATACCATGTACTGTATACGCATTTACGCGTACTGTCCAGTCTGGAGCCGGTATACCATGTATTGTATACGCATTGTCCAGTCTGGAGCCTATATACCATGTACTGTATACGCATTTACGCTTACTGTCGAGTCTGGAGCCGGTATACCATGTACTGTATACGCATTGTCCAGTCTGGAGCTAGTATACCATGTACTGTATACGCATTGTCCAGTCTGGAGCCGGTATACCATGTACTGTATACGCATTGTCCAGTCTGGAGCTTATAGACCATGTACTGTATACGCATTTACGCGTACTGTCCAGTCTGGAGCCGGTATACCATGTACTGTATACGCATTACTCGTACTATCCAGTCTGGACTTTACAGTCGACCCAGCAGTCAGCACGTTTAATGAATGAACTGGAGCCTGGCAAGATCTATTTGATCTGACGTCAACAATATAAGAGTCACATATCATTATTATTTATTTCTTCTATAAATAATTTTCAAATTACAATGATTTTGTAAAAATATATTTTATATGCATGTGCCTTTATATTTTACAATGTTAGATATTTAGAAAATATATCTAATAATAAATAATATAAATATAATATATAATCTAATAATATATCTAATTCGTGTTTTACAATTATATTTAATTTAAAAACAAACAAAAAACATAATTACGATAATATGTTTAATAATATTCTATGATTCCAATAATGTAATAATGTATCTTTATATATATTAATTAGTAATCTCTATTTGTCTGTTGTCATAAATGTTCTTAGCCTGGTTTAGGTTCAGTGGGTTCACGTTTAAAGGATAAACTACTGGTCCTTAATAGATTTTTTAAATGTATATTCCCGTGACTCTGCCAAATTACCCTTTAAAAATTTGAGGCAAACCGGTCTCAGGGTTCATGAGTTATGATACATACAAAGATAGAAATAGAGATTACTCTTTTATATATAATGTATATGCTTGCATATGATGTCAGCTATAGCCGGCCAAACGGCTGGACCGAATTGGCTGACATTTTTTGAGGGAACCCTTGAATAGGGCTGGGCGCGTTCCTGGTGAAACGATCGTTCTTTCCTGAGAACGAACGGAACGATCAAGAACATTATTCTTTTAACCCTAAATTTAAAATATATAATTTAAAGTATATTTGCGGCGAGGAACTTTTTATTTTAAAATCGTATTTTTTTTTACTTTTTAACCAACTCTTTTCTATAAAACTTATGTCGTGGATGGAATTGTTCTTTACTAAGAACAGAACGAGAGATGGAATTCGTTCTTTGACTAAGAAGGGAACGAGAGGGATGGAACCGTTCTTTAAATAAGAACGCCAAAAACGGAACGGAACGGGAAGACCGTTCTTCTACTCAGAACGGAACGGAACGGGACGGAACGGAACGAGAACAGAACGATTAAAAAAAAGGAACGAGAACTGAACGATTTAGCTGAAGAACGGAACGAAACGATTTCAAAAAAGTCGGAACGTGCCCAGCCCTACCCTTGAATAACTCTTTGGGTAACATAGGCTTTTAAAAAATATATTTTTTTATTCGAAATTGTTTTTTTCCTTGGGCTACGCCGGGCACTTCAATTAGTTCATAAATATATATATATCTATAAATATAAAGTTGTAATGTATGTCTGTCTGATTGTTTGTTTGTCCGATCATAGCTCGGGAACCCCTCGACCAATTTGTCTCAAATTTTGATGGTAACTTGAGAGAACCACGGGAAT